CTGGGACTCGTAGTCACGGGAGTCACCATGCCGTACGGACTGCCGTACAGACTGCTGCTTAAGCGCGCGAACATCCGTCGTGGTTGCAGTTCCGGTTCCAGTTCCATGCGGGTCGGGGGGGTTGTGGATCGCATGCGTGTGTGTGTGTGTGTGTGTGTGTGTGTGTGTGTGTGTGTGTGTGTGTGTGTGCCGGGGCCCCCCGGACAGCCGGCGGGGGGTGTTGGGGCGGCAGGGCGGCAGGCGGCGGACGGAGGGCTAAGTCCACGCGGCCCATTCCCTCCTACGAGCCCCCCGCATGTCCAGCCGCTCTGGAACCCCGGGACGAGCTGAGTGCGGGGGGTCCTGGTCCACCTAACAACCCCTCCCGCCCCCTCTATCTTTGCCTCGGCCACCCGGCGGCGCACCCCTCAACGAAATGAACCCGGTAGGCTCAGCTCTGCCCTACCCAGCAGCTCCAGGAAGGGCCGCAGCACCCAGGCCGCCCGCCAGTGCCGTACCGCCCGCAGCTTCCGCCGCCTCCACCGCCTCCTCCCCCCACCCGTCTGTCAGAATCTCCTGATGGCGATGACGGTGATGATGACGGTGATGATGACGGTGACGTTTGGCGTCACGATAAAGCGATGTTACAATATGATTGGTAGAGAGAGTGGGTAGAGGGGGGAGGGGAGCTAGGGCTTGAGAAGGGAGATTTGAGGGGTTGGCCGGATGATCCTGTCAAAAGAAAAGACCCTCACAATGTTTCAAACACATCAACAAAAGTGAGCCAAACAGACGGTATTTCATATTCGAAACCACTACTACTACTACTACTACTACAACTACTTATACTGCTGCTACTGCACGTTTGCTTAATGAGAGTTACAGTGTTTAGTTCGGTGTTTTGAAGGAACAGTCAAAACGAAACAAACGAGCGGTCGAGCAATCCGAGGCGGTAGAGGCATTTACGACAGTAGTTCGCCTGTCGTACGAATTCGCCCGGCATGTACCTGATCCCGTACAAGCTGTGCCGCGCCCCCAAGACCCGGGTGGTGGGGTTGTCCCCAGCCGTACACTAGGGCCTCCAGTGCCGTGGCGATGACACCTTCGGTGACGTCACCGGGTCATGTGTACGGCAGGCGTCGAGGGGAGGGGAATCGTGTGCAAGGAAATTAGAAATGAATTGCCGTCGTGACGGGGGGGGGACGGGAAAGACGAACCACGAACGCGTGAAGGGAAGGGGGGAACCTTAGCGGGCGGGTGGAGGACGTTGCGGTGGGAGTTCGGGAGTAGTCGTAGTGGCTATTACGTCACTACCACAGCGTTTTTGCTCCCCTATCGTACGATTTCCGTACATGCTCCCCTACATGACTGTTGGCCTTCCTGCGGCGCGCATCCCCCTAAACCTGTCGATGACTGTACCTCCTCAACCCCGACCCAAACCGCCCATCTACACGCCGTACAGTACGGTGGGCGCAGAGAGACAGAGAGAGGGACTCATTCCGCAATTCATCCAGTGACTAACCAATGGCAAGGAAATGTTGCTGCCGTAAAATTCACAGTACGAGAGTCCAGCTCGTCCCATCCCGATCCCAAGCTCGTCCCACCTGGCGCGCCACTCCCGTCCGGAGCTGCCGCCGTCATCTCATCAGGGACCTCCACCCTGTCGCCCACACCGCCGCCGCCGCCGCTACTGCTACCGCCGCCGGCCCCACCGCCGCCCCCGCCGCTGGCCCGGCCATTGCCGTTGCCGCTGCTGTTATAATACCCGCCGTCGCCGCCGGCAGGAACGCCGTACCCCATACTGGAACCGGCGCTATCGGCCGTTGCGCCATTGTACGGCACCTGGCCAGCACCCATGACGGGCGCCTGGGCCGCCGCCGCCACTGGTATCGCCGCCGCCGCCGAAGCTGCTGTCAGGGGGGCCCCCACCAGACCACCCGCACCAGCTCCGCTAGCTAACGGCAGCGGCATGCCGGCAGCTCCGTACGGCAGGCCCGGTGTCGCAAGGCCGTAAGCCGGGCCTAAGGCGCCGGCGCCGTACACTCCCGGCAAGCCAGCCATCCCTGTCTGTCCCGCAAGCGCCGCCGCCGCCGCCGGCAACGTCGGCGTCGCCCCGGCGGCGTTGGCTAGAGCCGAGCCCAGACCTTTGGCAGCGGCGCCGCCAGCGGGCAGTGCGCCGCCGCCGAGCGATGGCACTGGTGTCGTGGTGGCGTCGCCAACCGCAGCCTCATGGTACGGCAGCACCGCCCATCCGGCGGCGTCGCCCAGCTTCCGTACAGCCGTCACCACCGCCGTCAATAGACCCCGAGGGATCGCCAGTGTTATACCCGTCACCGTCGTTATCAGCCGCCATGCCGTACGGACTGCCGCCGTCAGCACCCAGCCCATCGCCCGCAACACAGCTGAAAGAACCCAGGCGCTGAAGTTCACCACGCCGTACGCCAGCTGTACGGGGACGGGAGCGGAGCGATGCGCCGCCGCGGCCACGGCCGCCGTCTCGTCATTCGGCTTCTGTGCCCGCCGCGGTAACGGCGGCGGTGGTGCCGGCCCCCCCGCCGCAGCGGAAGACGGAGCCGTGGCATCTGCCCGACCTCCCCCCCACTCCCTCTTCCCTTCGTCACTGACCGCCTCAGCGGCATCCGGGGGTGCCAGCGGCGGCGACGGCGGGACCGTGTGATGCGCTACCGGTACGGCCGCATCGCCGCCACTGCCGCTGTGGCCATCAGCCGCCATCACATTGCGCTTCTCTTCCCCCCCACCCCCCGCCGTAGGGATCAACCTCCCCCCCTCCTGCTGCTGCCGCTGCTCCGGCGGCGGGGGCGGCGGCGGCTGCAGCTCAAGCTCTGCAGACCGGTCCGTCGGCTGCCCTAGCCCGGGGAGCTTGGCCCCGTACAGAGGACCTGCCGCCGCCGCCACCGTCGGCGGAGCGGCCGATACCGCCGCTTCGGGCTTCGTTAAGTTGTGGTCGCCGCTGCTGCTGTCGGCAACGTCCCGCTGTTTCCCAGCTCGGCAGGTGGCGGCGTCGGTCGTCGCCAATTCGCCCAGCGGCGCCGATGCGGCGCCGTCGGCGGAGTAGTCGGGCTGCCGGGCCACCACCGCCTCAGTCGCCTGCGGCTGCTCGTACTGCGAATGAGGGCCTTGCTGGGGCTCAAAATGGTGGTCCTGCTCTTGTTGCTGGTGCCGTACAGCTTCCTCCAAAGGGTCCCTTACGAGATCGAGTGACGGTGGACTGGCCTGCTCTTCGGTGCTGATGCTGACGGCAGCGGCAGAGGGAGAGGGGCCGGCGGCGGCGGGGAAAGGGCCGGCGGCAGCAGCAGGCGCTGGAAATCTGTTGTCGACATTGGCGGCTCCGAGCCAAACGGCGGCCGCCGTCCCATCTTCACCGTCGCCAGCGCCCGCGCCGCCGCCACCACCTTCAGTGGTCGCGACAGTTGGCGCTTCCAGTTCCTGTCCCGCTGCATGTCCCAGAATCTGAACCGGCTCCCCGCCACTGCTGCAGCCGCTGCCCTCGCCGCCGCTGAGAGCCGTACCCTCCTTACCTTGTCGCCGCGCCGCCGCCGCCGCCACTCCCTCCTCCTCCTCCTCCTCCTCGGCATCCATCCGCACAGCCGCCGTCTCCATCTCCACGTCTCTCTCCGCCTCCGTCTCCGCGGCGTGTGCGGCTCGCTTCTCCTCCTCCTCCTCCTCCGCCGCCGCCACCTCTTCCTCCTCCTCTGCGTCCTGATGTTCGGCCGCTGCGAGCTGCCGCCCTCGATCCCCCGCCTCAAGTGCGACTCCGGAACCAAGTTCCGGACCAGGCGGCCCTTCGGACTGACCCTTCCCTTGGCCTTCGCTTGCTGCCGTACTGCATGTACTGCATGCTGTACCATGACGGAGCTGTGCGACCAGTGCCTGGGCCGCTGACGCCGCCGCGGCTTCCAGAACGGCTTGTATCTGGGAGCTGTACGACCCGTACGACATGGGCGGCAGGCTGTCGTGGTGACGAGGATGGACAGGGAAGCTGGACCCGCCAACACCCAGCCCAACACCGCTGTTACTGCCAGTGTCCTCCGGTTCGCTGCTGCAGCCGGTGACAGTCAGTGTTCCGTCAGTGGCGGGGGTCGACAGGGCGGGACGGGAAGTCGCTGACTGCATCATTGTGGACGCCACCTTCGGATGGTCAAACGGCAGGTTTGTAGGAGTTGTGGCAGTTACTGCCGTACTGTCGTATGACCTGGATTCCTGTTCTTCTCCGTCGAGGACGGCGACAGGGCTGCTGCTGTCCTGTCCTTCGTCCCCCCGCGATTGACGGACGATGGCGCCGCTGACGGGAGCTGCATGTGGTATGGAAACTGCCTCCTCTTCCTCCGCGTCGTAGTCGTAGTCGTCGTGCTGCTGCTGCTGCTGCTGCAGAGCAGCCGCCCGCTGCTGTTGACGGAGCAGCTGTTGTTGTTGTTGTTGTTGTTGTTGCTGCTGCCCCTGTTGCTGCCGTCGCTTCTGTCTGCCGCGTTTGCTTGGATGCTTGGAGGGCCCGCCGCCGCTTGTTGTTCGCGTCGCGTGTTTTGCAGCTACGGCGTTCGTCGCTTTTGCCGCGTCCGCGTCCCCAGCAGCAGCAGCAGCAAACGAAGTCGCTGCTGCCGCTTCCACTGCTGCAGGTTCTGCTTCGTTTGATCTGCCCGTGCCTAGAGCAATAATAGGATTGCTTTGCTGAAGTGGTTTCGGAGGTAAAGGCGCCGATGAAGGGTCTGACTCCAGGACCAACCGTTCCGCAGGGCTCATCACGCATCCCAGGATCTGATCCGGTCTGGATCCACCTGGTTCCAAATGATTTTGTTGCTGTCGCGGATCGGGCAGGGCAGGGCCGCCGTTTTGCGAGGACTGGATCCGAGTCCGCTGCCGAAAGCAGTCGGCAGGGTCTCGGCCGCGCAGGCAGTTTCGCCGGGCGTACAAGCTGTTAGGTAGCTTAACGACTTGTTGCTTCAGGGGAAGGCTGGATGCTGCGCCGTTGCTGCAGCAGCCGCCAAGGATGAAGCGAGCCCTTGGCCGGGTGTCCATAGGTCCCGCGGGTCGGGAACTAGCAGCAGCTTTGCAGGTGTTTTTATTTTAGGACCTAGTTTTATATGATTTGTAAGTTACTTGATAAGGTTGTGAAATACTTTGAAGCTGCCACTGAATAAGGAACCAGAGGAGGACAGGTACGAAAATGATTCCAACGCATACCAAAAGCCACAGCTACGCGGAATTATGTACATGAATCTACTTACCAAAGACGAGATCGAATTACTGATTAAAGTGCTACGCATCGTTGTTGCAGCTGTCGATGAAAGAGAATGACCGTCGATAGTGCTCCAGTCTTTGGCTCTAACCAACGAAATATATTGATCATATTTGTTGCAACTGCTATGGCCGCTTGTGGCATACTGGGGAGGCTAGGGAGACCGTTTTGGGTTCGAGTTCGACGGCCAAAGACGGCACGACGCAGGTGACACCCTTTTAAGGGATCCCCGCAAAACCTTGGACTGTAACACTGCCATGCCCCATACCTGCCAGGCGTGGCACGCCACTTGGAAATGTCGTATCGGACTGTGAGGCACGATGGCTTCTAGAAGACCTCCAGGCAAGCTCTGCGCTTGAGCTTCAGAGACGTCCTGTAGAACCCATTATGAGTAATCCCTTCCTTCACCTTTATAGGCCGCCCTTCATGGCGACGCTCCTGCCGTGCAACGCGTGGGGAAGATGCTAACCGCAGGATTCGGCGCGCGGAAACAGGACCAAGGAGCGGCAGCCGCGTGGGCCCGTAGCGCCGTGTAAGCCATCTTGCTAGGGACACTGTGTTAGTTGCGACTGTGTAATAGCTCGTCCTCCATTAACCGGCCCTTCACCTGCTCTCTCCTCAAAACCAAAACCTCTATACCCGTCTAATGGCTCGTCTACCCTGCTTAGTCCCCAACTACTACATTTGGCGTCCAAATACTGAGGAGAGAACGCATTCTGAACCGTCGCCACTGCTTTTCCTCTCCTCCCTTTCATGCTCAGAGCTATGCAGTCCTACCGGCATCCAGGCGGGGCTCAGGCGATACCCCGGCGGGAAAAAGAGCCCTCCCGCAGCGAACCCTCCTCAGAGGACGAGCAGGACCTTGACAGTGGAGAAGAGGGGGGACGTGGTGGCGGAGAAGGGGGCCTGCTGCTGTGCCGCTCCTCCTCCTGGAGCGACAGTGGCACCACGACGTTGGTCCACGGGGAGTTCAACACAGGGACTGGGACCCAGCAGACAGGTATCCTGTCGGGACCTCCGGGCGGCTCAGGCGGCGACCACGGATACCCGGTGCCGCTGCTGCGGCGGCGGTTATCTGACAGTGCTACCTGGGTCCTCTAGGTTCGTTCCGCAGAGCTCCCCCCACACCATCCCAGCCCACCCCCACAGAAGCACCGACCCCCCCAGAGTCAGCGGGAGGGCCAGGGTTCTCCTACATGTCCTCGCCCCAGTTGAGCAACAAGCTTGCCGTACTTCTGCGAAGGGGATGCTTGGGCCATTGATTTCCTCCTGTGCGGTATATATATAGAGTTGTGTGTAGCGGAGGGCTCTCCTCCTTCCTCTGAAGGCTCTGCGGGGGTTTATACTCGAGGCGGTAGCCTTCACTTGTCGGCGCCGTTTTACCATTTCGCTTTTCATCTGTCGTGCACGTGCTCTCCGCCGCTGTGTGCTGTTGAAACGGTTGTTGGGAGGTAACACTTGTTAGGAGGTAGATTTAGCCCTGTACACATCAGTCGTCGCGGTCAGTTCCTTTTCGATTATCCTCGGAACAGGGCCGCCCAGCCCTAGGTTGACCGCCTCATCCAGTCTGGGTATCCGTGGGTATCGGCCACGGGGGGTCATCAGGCCCACCTGACCGAAAGGCAGCAGTGGGCAAACGATGGACACACATACGTTATCATAGGACGAGGCGAAGACACGAGCGGTGAGAGTGTGTTTCTGATTTTTATGATTGGATTACTTTTTATCCTGGTTTGTGCAGACGGCACGCAGGTGTGCACACGGCCTTCATGGCAGCTGTCCACGGTGTCTCTGTGTGGTGCCATGTGCTGTCATGCACCATAAAGGAACCAGCGGCCGCAGGTTGGCGCCACAGATTGTGGGCTAGTTCCCGGTGGGCGGAATGAGGCGGAGTGGAGATGAGACCGAGACCTTGCTTAATGGAGCTAAGACTCGGTGCTTCAGACTGAGGGTGTCCGTCCATGCATCAGGGTTTCTGAAAGCAGTGATAGTAAGCGTTCTGCCCAATGGTATCATCTCTTCCTGCCAATAGGTTTAAAGTCCTTCCTTTCACAAACCTGCCAAAGGTGATGTAGAGATGTCGTGAATCCCTGGTGGCAGCCCTGAGAGCGACATTCCACTGCTTTGGGTGTCGTCAGGTTGGGGTATAACCCAGGGTGACACACATGCATACACATACACGCACACATACACTCTGAAAAGGAAGACAAGCCTCTGTAGCGCCAGGAGGGGCGACTATTGAAGCACCTATAACACCAAAACCTAGCCAGGAAAGCTGACTGACAGGACCATCTGACCAGAGTTACGGTCCTGTGACAGGGCTACTGACACTTCACACCCGCATCAGGCATGTGCGGGCATTTCACCACTGCAAAGGCTGGCATGCCCCTCCCGGGGGCCATGAGCAGCCACATATAGGTGCTGGGCTGCCCACAGTCTGGGATGAATGCACTACTGGCAGGTATGGTAGATGCATATACTGCTGCAACAGCTGCCATCTCTGTTATCTGGAAAAGTGGTGAACAGAGCTCAGGCTCAAGAAAACTACCAAACTGATTGTAGGTTTGAAGATTCTTGCATTGAAGTACAGCCTGTACAGGTATGAGGTTGGGGACCTTGGGGGGTCCTGGGGACCCTTGGGGGCCGGGGGGGCCCTGTTGGTCCCCGGGGCCCTCATCTTGGGGGCCTCAGGAGCGTCGGGGCCCTCGGGGCCTTGGGGGATTTAGGGGCTCTGGGAGCCCTCAAAGGGAGCCCTGTGGTCCTCGGGGGGGCCCTGATGGTTCACAGGAGCCTTGGGGGCTCTGGTGGTCCTCAGGGGCCTGGGGGGCCGGGGGGGCCCTGGCAGCCCTCGGAGGCCTCTGGGGCCCTCAGGGGGCCTGGGGGGCTTTGAGGGTCCTCAGGGGCCATGGGGGTCTTGGGGGCCTCAGGGGGCCTTGGGGACCCTGGGAGCCCTGGGGTCCCTTGTGTCCCTCGGGGATCCTTGGGGGGCCTTAAGGGTGTTGGGGCCCTCCAGAGCCCTGGGGGCCCTTGGGGGCCCTGGTGGTCCTTGGTGGGCTCGGGAGCCTCAGGGGCCCTCGGGGGTCCTGGGATCCTGGGGCCCCTCAAGGGCCCTTGGGGCCCCCTGGCAGCCTAGGGTCCCTGGGATTCTTGGGCCCCCTGGGGACCTCAAGAGGCACTCAGGGGCCCTGGGGGCCTATGGGGCCCTTTGGAACCCTGGTGGTCCTTGGGTGCCCTTGGGGATCCTGGGGCCTTGGGGTGTCTGGAGTCCCTCAGGGACCTTTGGGGGCGTTGGGGCCCTTGGAGCCCTTTGGGCCTATGGAGTTTCTCAGGGGCCCTCGGAGGCCTTGGGGCCCATGGGGCTCTGGGGGCCCTGAGGGGCCCTCAGGGGTGTAGGGGCTCTGGGTGCCCTAGGGGGCCTTGGGGGCCCTTGGGGCCTTAGAGGGTTTCTCTGGGGCCCTTGGGGCCTTAGAGATACTGGGACCCTTTGGCCCCTTTGGGGCCCTTGGGGTCCTTGGAGCCCTCAGGGGCACTGGGGCCATTGGTGCCCTCGGCCTCTGGGGTTCCTCGGGGGCCCCTTGGGGACCTTGGGGACCTGGGTGTGTTGGGAGTCTTGGGGCCCCTTGGGGCTCTGGGCCCTGGGGTTCCCCACAGGCCCTGGGGTTCCTCACAGACCCTGGGGGCCTTTGGGGGCCCTCGGGGGACCTGGAGGTCCTGGGGACCCTCAGGGTGGTGCTGAAGTGGTGGCGAAACCTGGCTGGCTAGGCGCACACCATCACATTGGGTCTTCTGACTGTGCACTCCAACCGCCGGAGCATGTCGGCTATCTTGACGTTGGGCGGCCAGCGTTTGCTTATGAACGCGCTTAATGTGTGCGTCGAGTGCGAAGTTCGCGTAACGACCCTTTCCCGATACTCTCGGCTCAACGCGGTTCGTTTTGTTTACAGTATGGGTGTATTTCCAGTGGCCAGGGATTATGGCACGGAAGTCCTTGGTATGAGCTTGCCATATACCGTAGTGACAGGAAATGTTCGTGATTTTATTGTTCGAGACACCCTCAAAATTAGACCCGAAATTATTGGTGAAACTTTTGAATTCGTGAGAAGCCAACGCAACCGAAGCAACGGTGCCTGCAATATTCGTTACTGGGTCCAACTCAGAACGCCGATTGACGCAAAAGCTGGCCAATGCATGCACGGTTATTTAGGAGCGGCAAAACCAGCTCTATCCGTAGCTGGGGCGCCGCGAGCAAGTGTGAAGAGTCCGCATTGAAGGAGGCTTTGTTGCTTAGGCCGCTTGGCCCTTGGATCCATGTCCGTTCAATTACTATGGATGTATATATGGCCAGAAAAATGGAATTCGACGAGTAATTACTGTGTTGAAGGCATTATACGATTTGGCTTCGGAGCACACATATATTCGTGACGACCATCGCCTGGAACAGCTTGTAATTTATATGTGACATAATTTCGTGATGCCGTCACGAAATTAAAATCACGAACATTTCCTGTCACTACGGTAGTTTCGTTCCGTAAGGGAACCAAAGGTCGAAAAGGCGAGGTAAGTTTTCCAACAACTTAGCCGTTTGCGCAAGTATTCATGGAGGACAGAGGGTTAATCCGCGACGTTAATCCGCACTGGAAATACACCCTATGATTGGTGCGGGAACGTCACTGAACGCAATCGTTGAACATTTGCAATAAGCGTTTAAGACTTATTATGCATCAAATTTTGCATTTGCACTTACTTACATGTTGCTACTTGTCATGTCGTTCAAGTTATGCCCCTTTGTCTGCCACTGAAGTCCTCCACATTTTACCTGAATTTCCCGGTTTTTCACAACCTAAAATGCTCATTGTGACTCTAAAATTATATGATGACGTGTTGCATTTGCCGTGACCCACGTATACAGTCAAGAATGCGTAATGTCGAAGGTGCCGCGACGCGTACGAATGCTTGCATTGTAGGGCGACATAAGTTTTTTTGTTTCCAATGGTAAAACGACTTCAACCTATTTCACCGTGAGAAGGAAACACTGAAGCTGTGGCACCCGCTTGCAGGTCCCGGCATCCGCTGGTGTCCTACATTATTTACCACTTGGGCCGATTTTCAGAAGCTTCGGATAATGCATCGACTTTACTCAGCTATTGATAATTGCTCGACATTCACGTCAACGATTACCGTGACGCGTCTTGATGACTTCTCACAGAACATCGAGGAACCTCGAGGAAAGCGGCGCAAAAGCACTAATGTAGGAGTTCATCACCTGGATGGAGGTAATAAGGTCACATTACGACATATCATAAATACGTCAGCTCATGGTTTAAACACTTGCTGCTGCACCGCACTAAATCCGGGGTATCAAGTGTCACAAGCGTGAACCAAATAATCAGGTAATAACGACAATAAGACAACCCTTATAGATAACCCTTATCCAAGGGCTAGCCAGTACACACGCGGAGGCAGCCAACAACCGGCAACCAGCAGTCGTGGATTTTATGCTCGCCAGGGGGATGAAGAGACAGGTGGAGAATATCAGAGCACAGCCTTGTAGGGGATGAGCTGTCAGTTTTCCGTTGCGCGTTGCTCCCCTATCAATGGAATCGGGTGAACCCCCCTACACTCGCCTCAACTAGAACCCCCCACAAAGCCAGGTGGGTGACCCCCTAAAGCATCTGTCCAAACGTAAGACGCTGCATGTAGGTAGGTAGGTAGGTAGGTAGGTAGGTAGGTAGGTAGGTAGGTAGGTAGGTAGGTAGGTAGGTAGGTAGGAGGCTGTCGGAGGGCAATAAAAGCAGCACCTTGCCCTGTCGTGTGGTTCTGGATGTGCCTGGGAGGCAAAACACGACCCCAGTGCGACTTTTTGAGGCTTCGGCGCTGCTCCCCTCCATCACGGTGGTGGCTTTGGCGGATCGAAATCAGCTTTCATTCGGCCCCCGACCTGCTACGGTGCTGTGGGCGGCTTTCATGGGACACCTTCAAACAGCACGCAGCCGCACATTATTGCTGCACAACGTTATTCGGCGACCCAGGCGGGTGCGAGCATCACGTGGCGCCCCTTGTCGCCCATCTGTACCGATACAGATTGCACCTTACACACACGCATACAGGCGAACCCCGTTCATACTTCCATAGTATGAACCGAATGGGGGCCCCCGCCAGCAGCACCTTCCTGGTCCTGAATGGCATGCTTGTACGGCATAGGCGGTTAGCCGGGGCCCGTGTTGTGGGAGGTTTTCATATCGCTCCATGTTTCCATAAGGCCTGGGTGACTCCTTGCGCTGACGGCTGATGCCGGAGGTGGTGCTGCAAGGATCCTCTCTCTGCAGTGTACGCCGAGTCGAACGGGGCGGGTTCTAGTCTTCTTGATTGGCCGTGAGCTAGGGTTCAACGAAGATGGTTAGCTCTCCAACGTCTCTGGCAGACTGCAATGGTGCTCCCACAGTTGTCGTTTGCGTCGGTTTAGACTTAGGGTTTTAACTAGGCTTTTTGCCTGGGTATGTGCCGTGCAGTTACATAGTCTGATCATGACGGCGAGGGTGAGGAGTCTGCCGTACGCACGTGTTTTGTCGATGATCATGACGGCAAGGGTGAGAATGATTGTGGAACCTGGTGAACGGTCAACAAGGGGTACTATCTGACGGCCGTACATGTTGTACTTGTCGTAATGCTGGCCAGCGGCAAACGTGTGTTCCCCCACAACGGATATCCTTCAAGGGGGGAACATGCGACCATGACACGCTCATGCGCCCGACACTCCATTAAGACGGGACGCTCGTCCTCCACAGCGCCCTTACGGCACTTACGTTCAACACGGGGGTTGCACCCCGGCTGACGTGCAAATGAGACATGTTGAGGTCCCAATGAAACTGAATCAGTAAGGGTGAGGTTGGGTCACATGCCGCGCCCATCCAAGTCAGGTAGTGACACGTGCCGTTACCCCAGGTTTCCCTGGACAACCGTCTCCCTGGTTAACTTCCGGACGGAGGATCCGCGCGGGGGTCCTCGTGGATCTCTGTCAACCGTCACTCGACTCCCACTTCGCCAACAACTACCGCCGAAACTCCTGAAGCACGTCATCAAACGATTGCTCTTGCCTCATCCGCATTGTTCGTGCTGCTGCGTACGTGCTGCTTGAAGTTGTGTCCCAGAGGTTCGAGGGTACGGAGAAGCTTTTACGCCCAAAAGTATACTTTTCGTTTCATTCCTCAAAATTAATCGGAGTCCAAGTAAGCCTATACGTCCTCAAATACTGCCCGCGCTAATGTCCAACCCCGCTTGCTCAAACGCTTACACAATCCAAAACCCTGCTTGGCCTGAAAATAACATAGCGCAATTGTGATGTCTCCGCAAAAAGTTGCGTGCTCGGTGGCAGGCTTGTGCCGACCACCTTGCGCAGGAAGATCTTCTGCACGTCTATCAGGGAGGCTGCCATGTCCCTTTCACGAACGTCTGCTGCACACTTCGTGCTACGAAACCACTTTTCCCACCTGCTTTACATCACAGCAGATTCTACTGTCGGCCCTGTACCCCTCCCTCCGCAGTACGGCAGTGCCTGCCGGCTTTCCCCCAAAAAAGAGTTTTTCTTGAGGCTGCCTAGCTCGTAATCCATGGCGATTACCGCGCGACTGTATGGGGATAATATCGTGCCTCATGTGACGATGATTTACATGCGCACGTGAGAATAGACTCATAGATTCCGAAGGCAAAAAAGGTACAGTAGCATGGCTCATACATTTAGCCATTCCATTTCAAAGCATGAGCAGCTGCTCATGCTTTGCTTCTATGTGCTATTGACTGGGCGATTGACTCATTCCCGTGGGTTTTGCGACGACCAAAGCTCCTAAAGCAAGCACCGATAATGATGTACAATCGCCCATGATGTCCCTTTTTGTAACTAATCGCAGTTCCGTGCGCTCGTCGCGAGAACTCTACTCCGATTAAGTTGCCCGTCTCGCAACCGTAACCAATGTTTGCAGCGTTTCGGAACACGTGGATAAAAATTATTTGGCTTTGCAGAGAAACTTGTGTCAAAGCCCGGGTGAGTGGTCTGGATAGCTTACCTAAACGCATGCCCGTATCCTTCGAGGACTAGCAGTACGAAAAGGTCCTGGCATGTTTCTGTCGTATTGCAAGTCCCATACGGGGCGTGCCTCAAATGATAGTCCTTCTGATCTTATGAAGTGCTTTAGTTTGGAGAAGAGCCATAACATGGCTTGGCACTAAATTTCCATGCCCTTACTTGCGGTCTTAAAGTTGAATACTTCTCGCACTATGTAATATGTTTACTCCATATGTATATTCGTGATGGAGGAAATTTATTACTCTGCGCACGGCTCAAATGCTTGGCCAAACGTGGCGTGTATGCTTGTTTCCCTTAACTGTCACTCTGGTACTGCAGCTCATATCAGCAGCTTTTTGCCAGACGATAACTTACAATTCTATGCCGTTCTCAGCCCTCCTTGGGGAAAATGGCGGCGTTCAACTTAACGGCAGTGCCAATATCACATCGGATAAAACGTTTGTTAACGGCAGCTTCATCATTAATGGGCAAACCGATGTATGGATTTCCTTACCCTCGTACTCAGGCGTGGTGCGTTTGGAAGCAGGTCAGTCTAACTTTTTACGAGCAGCCTGTCAAGCTCTACATACGTAACGCGTTTCAAACATTTCTTTACAGGAAGCAGGCTTCTACTTTCGAACATGGGTATCAACTTCAGTTTGTCAGGTTCATTGGACCTACCCTCCTTGCTGACTCCGTCATTTTTTGAGGTTGACCCGGCAGCAGCACTTGAACTCCGCAATGTTTCAGTGAATACGAATTGCGACACTTTATCTGCCCTTCGAAATAACTTGTGCGATCGCATGCCCGATCAGGACTACGAGGTACGCAGATTTCGGGAGGGGATTGAAGTGATGGATGGTGAACCCCGACCCGACCCAAGCCACGCCGTTAGCAGCCTTACGCACCGAGCCTTTGGCTATATCCTTATGGCGCTCGAAGGAGCGGGATTGGAGTTCTGAAGAACTGTTTGGTAGCGCCTACATGCAGCCGAAGGAATGCTCGTCCGTTACTCACCCACCACAATGCACATGCATTACAGCCATTGTTCCTTTTTCTGACGCCTGCTGATCATGGCCTAGGTCAGGGAGTACATAGCCAGCTTCCGGCGTTGTTCCCGGCGACCGCCCCCCGCGGGCTTAAAGCTGTGTACCCAGCATAGCCCCGGTACCGTGAAATAGCCGTTATCGTAGCGGCAGGTGGTCTTGCCGATGAACCCAATGTCCAAAACCCACTTCACTCATTCCTTGCAACAAAGGAGGGGGAGGGCCTTATGAACGCCCCTCTGGCAGTCGGTACCCAGCGGACTGGCTGTTTCCAAAACTTCTTAACTGAAACAGGTGCAGCTGTACTTCACCGTTGTCCCTGCAGATCTGCCCCTGGAGTTTGCGGATTGTGAACTTGGTCGCGCAGAACACAACAACCCTGATTGCGCAGAACGTCACCCTGCGCTGCGGCTTCTCCGCCACCAACTCCACCTTCACCTATACACTCATGGGCTCGGATCGCCCGCCGTCGAGCGATTCAGACCTGGAAACAACGGCAACTATGACTATTCCGTGCGTCTCCTGGCGTGTGACAACGTACGGGGACTTTAGGAATGTCATTGCCTCGCATCCGAACGTGCAGCCGCAGGCTTTCTACGTGTTCATATTGACCAACGTGACCGGAAATCGTTCCGATTTATTCTCAAGTAAATTACTCGTCCCGAAGAACAAGATCAGCATTTTGATTACCGGTGCGTCATTACTGGTTGTTGGGTTCTTGGGTTACCCAGTACGGCACGGCGGGTAGTGTTCCTGCGGTCAGCAGCCCGGTCGCTGTGGCGGGCCACCTTTTGACGACATGCTGCGGGAGAGCGGCCAGTGTGTGCGGTGTGTATGTATGTATGTACGTTAGTATAGCCAAAAAAGGCTTTCAATTTTGGTATAGCGCAGTGCAGCGTGGTAGGGTACAGTACGGTGAAGAGGTATGTGATAGTCGGAGTGTGGGACAGCGGCTGATGGCCCCCCGCATGGGGGCGCATGCACGGTGAAGATGGACAGTCAGCGGAGGGGGGGGATGTGAACCCTCCGTTGCCGCAATAAGGAAACAGTTTTGCAGCTGCCCCGGCAGATGAACCCATCATCCAGCCAGTCAGTCAGATAGGCAGATGAGGCTTGATGGCTCTGCTGCTGCACGCACCGTGCTGGGCTCTCCGCTTCCGCCACTGTACGGTCCGCAGGTCGCCCAGACGTGCCGACCCAGCTCGACCTTCGCCACATGGTCGGCATCATCTCCCTGTCCGGCATTACTTCTGACCCTTCTCGTGTCGATATTCGGGACTTGACACTCGTCAACATGGAGTACGGTCCCAGCTCTCAGTACCCTTTGGCACTTGTGAAGGCGGCTCTCTGGTTTCTGGATTATCCCAGGTGGGCAATGTCGGCTGCCGTACATGGAGCCGTGTCCGTACATGCTCGTACGCCTGTACTGCACGTAACCACAGGCTTGCTCCCAGTGGTGACGCCGTTTTGGCTACTCCTCTATCCGCAGAGTAGACAATATCTACACCCCATCCTCCATCCGCGTCAGCCTCACCCGGGTGACTCTGGTCGTGTCAGACACGGAGCTCTGGTGGTGGCGGGAAGTACTGGAGAGCGCCATCCGCAGCAACGAGACGGCCGTCGACGGGGGCTCCCTCATTCAGTACTTCGCGCCGGGGTTAGTGGTGGATCCGGAGGACGTCGGCAATCTACAGGTCGGACGCGAGGGGGCCGAGGCCGTGTGTGTATAACGCGTGGGGCGGTTTGGAAGAACCCATAATCTGAGATAGTTCACGGAGCAGCCATGCACATATGCAGATGGGGTGGATAGGGCCGCACGCGGAGAGTGTTGGATCCTCCGAATGAGCGCGTTATGTTATCCGGTGCCACTCCAGGGTGGCCGGTCGATGCACGGTGTCCTGGCGCATGGTGCACTGCCGACAGATGACACTTGTAAACAGCCGAGTATATCGTATTGATGATGTGCGGCTTGAGATGCTGGTATGTGGGCTATCCCGGCTGTGTGCATGCTTGCTTTTCCACGCTCCGTATATCGCAGGTGCCGTACTGGGAGTGGGCATATGGTACGACAACCTGGACGAACTGCTCCCTTACCGCGACGCCACTTGTCGATACAGCACCACTGCTGTTCCCTACGAGGTCGGACTTGTTGGCCACGCTGGCGCCGTACGGCCAGAACGGCCCTGTACAGCTGTCCACCGTACGCGTTGCACAGCAACGGTTGGACGCCAGCATGCTCACCTTGGGCCCTACCGTAATGTTGCCGTATGATACACAATTGTCGGTACGTTTGCCTGTCGGCCCTGTGCGGGTCCACCTGCTCCCGCTTTTTTGGGGACCCGCGTTCATGTGCTATTGCCGCAAACCGCCCCCATACAGTAGCTGTGGTCAACTCACCGGCAAAAGAACTGATAGGCTTACTACTACTACTACTACTACTACAAGTACTACTACTATTACGGACATGTTGTGTATCCAAATCCAACGGACAATGGCAAATCCCCCACTGCTTATTGCCAGGGAGGGAGCAGTGGACGAATTTGGCCAGTGTAGTTCTTGTGCGGTCGGCGTCTTGGGATTTGAAAGGTCATGGGGCATTTGGCGGTGGTAAGGCATTTGGGACTGGCTTCGTGAAGTAGCAGAGAGGCGATTAGGTCGCAGGGCAAGGGCGGGCAAGGCAAGGCAAGGGCGAGGCAAGCCGCTTTGCTTTCCTGACCTCCGGAGCAACCCTTCTTGTAATGTATTGCGCCTTCGGGGCGGCGTCCCGCAGACCAGCCTCACGTCGTCGCGACCAACCCTTGGCGACAATCTCACGCTTTGGGGCGAGCCGAGGGGTGTTCGCATTTTGGACTTGATGGGCCTGTCAGGTAAGGAGGGATGCGGACTGAGACCCTTTCTGAAGTAGCGATGGTGGTGGATGGGGCGGTGGTTGAGGTAATTGCGGCGTGACATGATGTGACGCACAACGGGATACGATCGCCAGTAAGGTTAGTGACGGGTAGCAGCCATAAATCATCATTTATCACGCGGCGGCGTGCAATGCTAATTCCACTTTCTTTGCGTTGCGTGTTGTGTTGCTCCAATGAGGGGGACCCTAAGGACCCTAAGGATTTGAGGCTGCGGGAGCTCATCGGGATGTACTTTTGGCGTGCTCTCATCTGAGCATTCCGTCTTCATCGACTATCGACTTACCTGAAGGGGTGGTGTTACAAATAACCGAGTAACCGAATGACCTGCGGGTACTGCCGCCCGCACCCAAACACTGGTTAATTCCCCGCGGTCGCTGCCTGCTGAGCCCAATCCGCCGCATGGGCGGTTTCCATGATACCCCTTTGTGTCGTCACTCTTGCTTGGTATCTTGCTTGGTATGCAGGACGCCAGCAGTGGCCTGCTAATCGGCGCACAGTGCTCTACTAGCACTGTGCAAGCGCCCCAGTTGGCCGCGACTCTTCCTTGCTTGTATACTGTTCCACTCGTGGAACGGTATACAATTAAGAGGAGGGCTGTGCGTTGTTGTACACAACACCGCACAGTCCTCGCTCTTTATTGTTATTAGGGTCTAGTAAACTAGGACCTCTATGCGTCTGTCTCATATGTCGCTTCATGGCTTTACTCCGGTGCTAAAAGACGGCGACGCTCTATTTGCGGCTATGTTAACTGCAGCGCCGCTTTCATTTTAACCCGCATTTCAGCAACGTTTCGACGCGTGCCAGATTAAAGCTCTACGTTGCCCTCGAACTTCGTTTCGCCGTTTCGGCCCCGCGCTGTCCTCGCGCGTGTTTTGTCCCCATCAGGTGTCATAACAGTGCCGCCGTACACGGTCCTAACTCTACGCTTCTTGACTCTGGTGAACCTGGGCGCGGGGGAGCGAGGGGGAGCACAGCCGGCTGTGCTTCAGAACTACACGCTGATGTTCTGGGCCTTCAACCGCACATTGCTGCCCGGTTCAGGGTCCTCGTCGTCGTCGTCCCGCAGGGCGCTGTTATCGTCATCTCTCTCGTCGGACGATGGTGGTGCACTGGGGCAGGTTACCCCCCGTCCACCGGCGCAGCTTGACCACCGACTGACGCCGCTTGGGCAGGGCGTTGACCGGCTGCAGCGCAGTCGTGGGGGCAAGGTGTCGCAGCGACTGGAGCCCGTCATGGAACACAGCCCGTGGCCTCCTGTTCGTAGGGGTATTACGAAGGGGGGGAGGTTACGGAGGCACCTGTTGCAAGCCGCCACGAACGGCAATCCTGGCGTGGGTCCTTCTTCTTCTGGAGGCAGCAGCAGCAGCAGTGCCATTCCCGTGGGTCCTTTCCGAACATGGTTGAGGCTAGAAGAAGTGGTTCTCTACATACCGCCATTGGAGTGTCAGCTCTTGTACGAGTTGGTGACGAGCAACAGGACGTCCCTGGCAGTGTCACCGGATGTGGTGGACTGGCTACGCGGGGTGTTGGCGACGGCGCAGGTAATACGGCGCCTTAACGCAGTCCGACTGCTACCCGGTTTGGGGGGTTCAAGGGATCGGTTCTTGCGATTATTTGTCCGTCTGTCATGTAGGTGCTCGATTGCATTACGGGTTCTGATGGGTATGAGCCCCCCGTAGGCCGGGGTGCAATGATGAAGAGGTACCACAGGTCTGCATCCGTACCTTAAAAGAAGCGGCGGAGCACTGCCATTGATCCGCCCGTGCTGGTGCATCTGAGAGGTCCACGCCGGGCTCCTGTACACACACCCTACATGCCTGGCGCTTCATGCGCTTCCATCTTCCTATCGGCCTTCAGGTTACGCGCACAACCTCTACAGTGATCACGTTTTCGTTCCTTACCTGGATGGGAGTCGAGGCAGTCGACGTCACCATTTCTTCATTGGTGAACGCGGCTGTAACCTCGCTGCAACCGATAGGCAGCATTTTCGTGTCAGGTGAGGTGGGCGGGGGTGTACTGCTGCGGCTGCCATAAACCCGTTTGCCATCGGGGGAAGAGAGAGAGAGAGAGTATGTAGCGAAATAGTACATATTCATACTAGGGTTAGGCGCTAATGGTAATGCGCGATCATTGCCCCCGGGAGATCCCTAGATCGAGACCTGCCAGGGTCGAAAACCCTTCCGATGGTGGAAGGTATTGCGCCCCTAGTTGATGGACGGTGGTGACCTGGGATACTGCGAGCCGACCAGGAATGGAGTTGGGCCGCTGTTGACCCGGCAGATTCCGTTGGATGCTGGTGGTGGATGCGGAACTTGAGCGATCCACTGAGAAGTTGACTAGGGTGACTGGATGAGGGTGCCCTAGTCAAGGCAGGGTTTCGAAGGGTAGCTGCCACGGGTGAAGATATACCCCCCTGTTTCACACATCATATACATTGAGATCAACCGGGCAATTGCCTCAGGTACCAGGTTCTTTGCCTTTGCCACTACTGCCTGGTGACATGGCATGTAACCTCGATGGGTGCACCGGTTCCTACAAGGTCGTTTCCGTCGGGTACACCTTGGCCGTGGCGATGGATTGTGGCTTTCACCCCTGGCTGCCTCGTGCCGCAGGGCCTCCACGAGTACCTCCACCCGCATCCTCGCCGCCGCCATGGTCACCGGGGCTGGCAGTCCCACCCCCGGCCACAATCTATCCGCTGCCGTCGGCGTCCAAAAACACCGGTATGAAGTTGAAACGCGTCGCTGCGTCCGCGATCGTCTCTTTCTGTGGTTGATTTGCGTGCAGCCAAGGATCTTGAGTTACGGGCCACAGTAAAGCCAACATGACAGGCAATGTAGGCTTGTGCCATTGCAGCCTTTCCATGATGTGGATGTTTCACTATGGGCACACATACACACACATACACACACATACACACACATACACACACATACACACACAGCCGTGGCGCTCCCGTGCTGCTAGAGAAATGAGTGATGTGCCCCTAGTGCCGTTTGGTCGATGCCATACATACCTCCCCCTCATCCACATATCGTATGCCATGTAGCTTTGGATTCCGATCTCGCCATTATTATGCCATGTCTTAGCTTCGCCTTCCGTGCTCTTTTACTTTGCTCGGCCAGCGTCAATCGGATTCCCGCCTTCGAGCGGCCCTGGCGGCGCGGCGGTGGTGGTTCACAGCGACATACACGTGGAGTCCGTGAACCCCGCCAGCTCTGTCGTAGGACCGGCCGTCGGGAGTGTGGCCGGACTGCTGCTGCTATGCAGTGTCTTCACCTTCGCGGTCATGTACGTGCGACACCGCCGAAGGCTTTCCCAGGCTGCAGATCCCAGCAAGGCGAAGGATCTGGGCGTGGCGGTAGACGGAGGGGCCGGCGATGAAGGCCAGGTGCGGTGGAGTGATTCTTAAGGGGCGGGAGCTGTATATGCAGTAGAAGATTGAGAAGGCGACCACTCAGCACGTGGCGGATCTGCACACAAGGAATCTGCCCTAGGAGCGGTCGCACCAGCACGTGTCGAAAGATGCCGTGGGCCGTGGGTTTTTGCCGCTCTAAATTTGAGGCGCTTTAGCTATGGACGCGATGGACCTGTGCAGTCATCATACACAGCACATCACCTCTACATGCGAGGATATGTTCTATCTGTATAACCCCGCTTTCGTGCAGCTGCACCGTCGCCAAGTGCGGCCAACACTCATCCCGCCTGTGTACGTTTCCATGCCACAACGCAGACCCCCTCGCGCAACGCAAACGGATGCAGCAGCCCAATGGAGCCCCCCAAAGCCACCATCCAGCCGCCACCACCTCCAGGCCCTGACGCGGAGACTGCGGCTGCTGCCAGTGCGCCTCCGGCCGGCCAGGGCCCCGGCGGGCGCAAGGACGCAGCGCAGCCGGCGATTCAGCCCGTGACAGAAGAGGACATGCACCGCGACGATGGGCCTCCTGCGGCCGCAGCTGCCGGCAGCAGTGGCAAGCCGCCCGCTTTCCCGCCTCAGCGGCCGCCAAGGCAGCGCAGGTCCAGGGAGTCGAACATAGCCAGTGGGAGGGGACAGGGCACACGCAGGTCCAGACCTGTTGAGGGCATTGGTTCCGCAGCCAACGCCGGTCGGCAGGGAATTCCGGGCCATTCCCAGCCTTCAAAGCAGCAGCAGCAGCACGCGCGGGGATCGGGCTCCGCCGCCAGCGGCAGCAGCGGCGGCATTGCGTCGGACACAGTCCCTAGCGACCCGCGCACCGAGTTGTACGCCGCGCTGGCGGCCTTCCAAAGCGAGTTTGGCGAGCAGCAGCGGCAAATTACAATCATTTCGCAGTTGGGGGCAGGAGCACATGGAGTGGTGTACAGAGGTGAGGGGCTGCCGCCGGGGAAATGGAGAAGCAGCGAAATTCCTCACTGAAAAAGGACATTTGAAGATTTTATTGAAAGGCATGCGCTGTGTGGCTTATTGACCTTGGGGTGATGAGAGGGTAAGTCACACACACGTGGAAAGGGAAATCATGGTCATTGATTGCAGAGGGTTCATCGAATCGCTAGACGTTCCATAGCAACAGGCAGGGCTTTTTCTCTCTTTGAAACTCCGTCCTGGATGTTTCCGGCCGGGTAAGCACCTGCACCTTTTGCCTTGCGCAATGCGGTGTTGGATAGTGGGCCACATGATCTCCTTCGGTGCGCTTAAACCATGTAGCATGCCACTGTGCCTCAATAGTGTGTTTAACCTTTGACCTAAGTGGTCCTTCGGTTGTGTTACCAAGTAATGGCCAGCCAGTCCGCACCCAGCCAGCCAGTTTGGAAAGCCAGCCAGAAGCGCCAGACGTGTTTCTCTAGCCGGGTCTAACTTCGCCTGGCCCCCAACCCGATCCGCCAGCGGAATGGCGCGGCCTCGAGGTGGCCGCCAAGACACTGCTGTTCCAGGCATTCTTGGGCAGCAACGGAGATGAGGGCGGGAACTCCTTGAGGGAGCAGGTAGGAGGAGTCTGGGGAATGGAATTTGTACTCTGCGCTGAAGGCGGTTTTGCGCTATTGATGTGTTGTATTGTGGGCCATGGCAAGCTGAGCCAAGCGGTTCGACGGGTGGGTGGGAATGAAACAAAAAGGTGGGCCTTCTCAAGGAGGCATTCATTCTTGTTAAAGGTTTAGCTCGGAGGGAGAGTCATCCGGTTGCTATAGCTACTGTGAGGAACCTGCGCATGCGGAGCAGCAGCAACAGCAGTGGAAGAGGCGCTGGGGGCACACTTCGTCGAGAGGTCAAATGACCCTCTCAAGTTGTGTGCTGTGTTTATTTCGCTGGGCTTTGTTATTCAAAGTTTTCCAGGACCGTTGTGGATTTTTAAGATGGCGACCCGCCAACTCAGGGGTGAGCGCTCGGCCATCCCACCGTACGAGTACCGCTTCGGCTGTGCCGCCACTCCTCCCGTCTGCGGCCGTTCAACCGTTGAGTTTGAGCCCTCTCCGACACCAAGGGACAACCCCCGCTCCCCCTCCCTCTGTTCCCATCCGTACAGGCCATGTTGGAGGCCGCTATCGCCACTACGCTGTTTCATCCCAACGTCATCAACACGTACTCTTATGACATCAAGCCGCTGCGCATGTGCCCGGCGCCCACATCCTCCACCCACTCGTCAAGGGCGGAGACGGTGGTGTCATCCGAAGGGGGCAGCATCATGGACTGGAAGCTGTATATCATACAGGTGGGTGAGTAGTCGCATGGTGTTCTCCTGTCCCCATGGGCTTGAGGGGGACCCACGCAGCAGCATATCCCACCGCATCCCAGGTCCGGCATCACAACCGCCCTGGGCCCCCATCCCATCTCCACAAACAAGCGATGGCACTGGGCGGGGCCCCGTCCATGTCAGCCGCGCCGTCCACTCGGGTGTGCAATGCAATGCAATGCAGGAGTATTGTGATGGTGGCACCCTCAAGGACGCTCTGGACGGGTCCCGCTTTACGAACCCTGAAACGGGGATGTCGTACACGGAGACGGCAGTGCGCGTCGCCATTGAGATTGCGTCGGGCATGTCGTACATCCACAACCGAAACATCATTCATGGAGGTACGGCGGGTCGGCGGACGGGCGGCGTTCCGTCCTCAGCGCGTCGCATGCATGGGGGGTGTTGCTGGGTAAGAAAAGCTTGTTGAAGTGTTTGGGGTGTTGGGTGTTGGCAGGAGGATGGTGGATATCGGGATCTAGTCGGCGTCTCCTCGGTCTCCGGTCCGGCTGGTTGGCTGACCGGACCCAACAAAAAGCTTACACGCTAGCAAACTAATAAGAGAAGTACCTGCTTGGCTGGGGTCAAGACTGCTGGGCTTAAGCGACATTACTGTAGTCGTGTACGAGGCATGCAAGGGGAAGGTTCCTCTCGGGCAGGAGGGGATCTCTGCCGGCGCCCCCCACCCGGTGAACTGAACCACAGGGAAACAAGGCGAGGAAATACGCCGCTCATGCGGGCAACAATTTGTGCGGCTCTGTTTGACTGACTGACTGACTCGCTGGCTGGTTGGCTGGTTGGCTGGTTGCAGATCTCAAGCCTGCCAACATCCTGCTGCGCTCCAACAGCTCCTCGCCCTACGGCTACACAGTCAAGATTGCGGACTTCGGCCTGGCTCTCAAACTGAAAGCCGGGGAGAGCCACATCAGCAACATCAGGTAGGCAGAGGACGTCCTGGCGCGTGATCGTCCGGGCGCCACTGCGTTTGCGAAATACGGCTGGGGGGACTGCAGGGCCCCAGCGGTGTCAGCGGGAAGGCAACCCCGCAGGAATGGGTCGTAACGACGTTGCACGTCAGGCTTTGCTTAATGTACGGATGATAACTCCATAGGCGGCTGGGTGCAAATTGCTTGGCACGGAGCAGCCGTTGGGGGCCACCCATCGCCAGTCACATTCATGCGCTCAGAGCCGAGGACTCAATCCGGAGTCCTGGGTCCTACTCCTTGTTTCCTTGTGCCTTGACAATGCGTTTCGGATGCCATGATTGCAATGGGAGACAACCACGGAAGATGTTTTGCATAAGCGGGACGCACTAAGCTGCGCTTCGGCTTGTACCTCGCGTGCCTGTAAGGCGGATAGCCAAGCCAGCACCATGCCTCCGGCCCGCCGTGTGCTCACCAGTGCCACCAAGAGGCTACTGACGAACTTGCTGACGTGCATACATACATGGCCAAGGGGGCCGCTGGTGAAGCTTAACCACCCTGTAACAACATCATACATGGCCGCCGCCCCACCGGTGCAACTGTAATCCAGGCGCGGCACCCCCTTCTACATCGCCTCGGAGCTGGTGGAGGATGGCCGGGCGACGACCGCCTCGGATCTGTGAGTCACACCGCGCCGCGGCATGCAGGATACGAGCTGGCGCACACACGCTGAGCTGTCTGTCGTGGAATCGGCCATGCGTTCCCTTCCGGCTCGCCGTTGAATCGCGACATCTGCCGTGTTTTTTCTGACGTGTTGTTTCCACCGTTTCTGTTGTGTTCTTCTACTGCATTGTGCACTAGTGCACTTTGGTTTTTCAGCAGCTTGCGGACCCCTCTCCCTCGCCGGCCCGCCCGCCTCCCAGGTATTCATTCGGCGTTATTCTTTGGGAGCTGCTGCACGGCTCCACCGTCGCGAGGCGCCTGCCGTTGCGGCGCCGCGTCCCCAACCTGCCGGCTGAGTTCTACACTTGGCCCCCCGACTGCCCGCCTGCCTACCGTGACCTCGCGAACGCCTGCCTCAGCTCCAACCCTGCTTCGCGACCTCGCTTTAATCAGGCCCTGGAAGCGCTGACAGGGGTGCTGCAATTGTTGCTGGAGGCCAAGCCGCAGGAGCAGCGGCGGCGGCAGGAAGAGCAGGAGAAACGCCGGCGCCTGGCAGCGACGGAAGCAGCAGCGAAGGCGACGGAGCAACAAGCGCAGGGCAAGGGGCAGGGGCATGAACAGGAGCACGCAGAGAATCTTGGTGCCCAATATGCGCAGGAAAAGGTCGCTGCTGCGGCTGACTGCTGCGCAGCTAGTGGAGAGGCTGTGAAACAGTCGCCCTCGGTGCTGCGGTCGTTTTCCTTCGCAGTTGCGGTGCGACAAACCGAGGTCCTATATCACAAGGATCATCTTCAGGACTGCAAGGACCAACCCGATGGAACTGACTCTGAAGGCAGAAAGGGGATTGGCGGTCCGTCTGGCAGCACGGCACGGCAGGGAGGCGCCGGCAACGGAGCAACTGTACTGCCAAACGGGGGCGGCATTGCGGTTGTTGGGAAGAGGTCGGAGGCCATGGACGCCGCAACAGGTGCGGCAGCCGCTACCGCAGACCACCAAGGAGCCGCCGGTATTACACCAATGATGACCGCGGAGAGCAGTGCGACGGCACCCGCCTGCACCCCGCAGCATCCGGAGCAGCCCCCTGGTAACGGAGGCGCCTTCCCGCGACCCCGACATGCGGAGCAGGCGCCGGCGGGTACTGAGGCGCCCGGGGCCACCCTAGCGGAGGGCACCCTAGCGGCGGCAGCGCGGGGCGTGGGGCCCGCCGTCCAGCCGCAGGAACATGGCCCATATAAAGTCCCATTTGGCGGTGCGAGGCCTTTACAATTGCCCAGACTTGCGCGGGCGGCATTTGCTGATGCTGTGGCGGCGGCAGGGCCGGAGGCTTCGGTAGCGGTGAGCTCATTAGCGGTTGCGTACCACGGGGAAGGTGGTGACTTCCCACCTGCGGGTGGCGACGGCAAGCCGGCTTCGGACGCTGTGGCGCAGTCGGGGCAGCCAACAGGAGGTGTGCCGCATTCGCATCAGGAGCAGCGGACATCACGCTCGGTGGACGCCGATGGGCCCCTGGGCGACGGGACTAGGGTTTCGGGAGGAATGTTTCCAGCGGCCGGTACTGCTTTTGGCCCGATTGCAATCGGCAATGCGCGCAAGGCCTCTTGGGACGCGGCCTTGTATGCGAACCACCCCGATAACGACCACGCGGACTCAGTCCATTCTTCCGAACACTCCGACACGGACCAGGGCGCCGCCGGTATCGGGGTCCGCCGGGAAGCCCCTCCTCTATCCTCCATGCCTGGCGCTTCATCTTCTGCCACCACCCATCCTAGGCCTGGCGCTCCCTTGACCGCTGCTGCCGCCGCCGCCGTGCTGGCTGCCTTGGCTGCCTCTATGAATAATACGACCACACTGGACCCGGACACTGCTGGGATGCTGGATTCTTGCCTGGGCAGCACCGAAGCGCACGCCATGGACCGCGGCCTGATGCTAGACCTCATGCCCGCGCTCAGCAACCAGGTGCGCAGCAGCAGCCTCAACACGGCGCTGGACCCGGAGCTGGCAGCTGCGCTAGAGAATATGCTGCGAGCCCAAGGTATTTGTAAGGACGGGGTGCCGGGTGTGGAGCCTGGTGGGGTGGCAGGCTCAGAACTGGGAGGAGGCTGGGTTGATTTGGGTGGGCAGGATGAGGTTCATAGTCCGAGATTGGGTTCCTGAAGGGCTTGGATGGGGAGAGAAATGTGTGCAGAACATTTCTGCGTGGCATCAGCTTCTCAGCAGCCGTCCAGGATTCGACAGCACGCAGTCGAGGTAGATGTTGCTGTTCCTGTGGGTGCAGTTGCTGCTGCTTTGGGTTGGCTACGTTTCTGGAAATGACGATAATGTCTGTTGGAAGGCGTTTTGATTGTTGAACTAGTTGTTTGACTGAGAACAACTTGGAGTCTTGTTTCGTATAGTGTTCCTAGTTGTCCGATGGAAATTCCTTATCTATTGCCTGCTTAGTAAAAGCTAATGGAGTGTTTAACGCAGGTCCTTTGTGAACAAACATTGCTTCACTATAAATTAGTTGTGGAAGTGGGCCCTCGTATCATGCTCTGACAAACGACAGTGCCGATTTTTTGCATCTTTATATGTGCGTGCGGAAAGTACCCTGCTCGCAGCCTTGAAGGCGAAGACGGTGCCCTCTGCTGCACCGGCCCTGACCATGAATTGCAACCGAAAGCTGTTGACTTAGGTGGTGCTGACTTAGGGTTCTCTTTCCGTGGCGCATCCGTCCCCATGCGTTGAGATGTAATGGTCGAGATGGTTGCAGCCAATCAACTGGGTCAGCGACAATATCGCTCCGGATTACTTGTGCTGGCTGGCGCGCCAGTCTTCGGCCATCAAGCAAGGAAGCGGCTGCTTGGCCTTTTTGTTTGCTGTCCGTGTTCAGTTCCCTGGACGTTTCCAAAGTTCTTCCTTTTGCGCAAGCCGTGCTTGAGCGCCTGGTTAAATGCTTGAATATTCAGGATTAATGACCGGCAATGAAGGGGACGTAACCGTGCTAATCGTACGACTACGGCCCCATGAAGGTCCCCGGGCCTGTTGCTGGCGACATCTGGCAGCGCCCTGCGGCTACTATGCTGTCATCATGGCTATTCTCTGAGGAAATTGTATCTTATTTTCGAAGTTGGTTTGGTAGTATCGGGGCTTACTGTCAACCTGCTTTACGAAGCTTTGAAAATTTTGTTGATGCAATTGGTTTGTTGTTCTAGGGGAGCACAAGGGCAAGAACACCGTGGAACATATTCCTGCACCCGGCTGCTTTCGTTGAATCGCTTAACCAGGCGCTGCCTTGTTGTGCTTGCAGGTCGCTATGGAATTCAATAAATTATAAATTATGCGCAACCTTTCTTGCATAATAACTTCGTTTAATGGTGTGAAGGCAGTAGCAATCACGCTTTTGGAGGACGCGTTAAATGTTTGCCGGCTGATCCAGGGTTCTTCACCAGGTTACCCAAATATTTCGGTCGTGCCCGAAACCCTCTGAATAACCTTTCGGGGCCCTCCTCGAAAGTTTACCTGTCAGCCTGGCAGGTTTTTCGGCCGAAACTGTCTGAAGCGGTTTTCGGGGCAAAGTTTAGCTGGATTCTATCGTAACATGCTGGGACGGCGGAATTAACAGGTGTTTGACTTTATTTTGGAACATGTCACCTGGGGCCAGTCGTCCAGGCAAGGATTTTACCCAAATCCAAGGAGGCGTCGCTCCTTATCCACCTCTGCAGCAATCGCCTCCACCACACCTGCCACATCATCATCATTATCATCATGCGTCTCATCGTTGCCAGATTCTCGTTCTCGACCTCCTCGTTATCAGAAGTGTAGTAGGCCTCAGCAATTTCACTGCCCACACTGCCCTCATCATCACTTTCATCAGGCAGAACACAGTCACCCATCTTGGCAATACGGTGCAGGAGCCCATCCGGGTTCTATGCAACATACTCCTCAGCAGCTTTAACCACAAGGGGCTTGCATTTCATATCCACGGTTGGACCGAGTAATCCAACACGCATAAGGGAATCAATGGACGGGACAGACAGCCGGTTACGCAGCCTGTTCTTGATAATGCGGTGGACACTAAATGTGTGCGATCCAGCCGCAATGCACATTTGCACACGTTGTTTGACTGGTGACCAAGCGGGCCTTACACTGCAAGCCCGATTTCCAGGCGCCTTCCGCGCCCGGAAACATGCAGATTTACACTTAAATATCTTTCCCCAGAAATACCTTCGGGAAGCTTCGGCGGGGGCCCCGAAGAAATGCTTCAAAAGGCCGAAAATCCTTTCGGGATGCTCCGGGGTGCACAAATTTTCCTTTCGGGCAAAATGGAAAAATCTCAAATTTTCGGGTCCGATTCGGGGCGAAGAACCCGGGCCGGCTCGGCAAGTAAGTCCGGCCATGCCCTCCTTACCGCAGATCTTATGACTGCCTCTGCGCATCCAATGGATGTGGTCCTCGCTGTCAGCTGTCCAGGTCGTCAGCCTTGTCGCAGGGCAGGGGTTACGCTATCCGATGAAGGAGGAATTTCACGGGAGGAACTTCACGGCAACAGCGAATCACTAAAACCGTCTGGGTCGCCATCAGCGCGCGCAGGTTCCAGCTGAAACTGTGATTGCAACGTCTATGACGATACTGCAGGTCAACGACCTGAAGATGCCACAGCAAGCTCAGGGTGCAGTGACTCTAGGCGGGTAAACCTAACAGTCTCTCAGTTTACTTGACGATTATCAGCGATACCAGCAACATGCATCCATGTAAAAAGCAACTGCAAGTATGTATGCTACATACACAATATGTGCCCGGTACACACTTTTATGTACATACTATGCTACATACTTTTATGTACCGGCAGCATTCGTGCCAAGTGATAGCGGCTGCCGAGAAAGTGCAAGGATGTCCTAGGAGGGAGAGATATAGCGGACTGATGGGAAAAACTTACAATAAGGGAAAGCAAACGAGAAGTCAACGGGAAAAAATATTTTTCTAATTTATTCAAATGGCCTCACCACGACAAGATTGGGGGTATCTGTTATGGCGAAAGACGAAAAGCCGTTATACCCTTTCTTAAAGGGTACAAAGGGCCTGCTCTTTTTGGCGGATTTGGTAACTGGCTGCTACCGATTATGATCGGAGCTTCCCACGATTAAAAAATATTAGCTTTTGACTTAACCCTCCGGCCTACTAGCTGGTATATATATTACATAAAATCGGAACGCTCTGCATTAAAACCCTCGCATTTTGTATGTGTACGAACAGTTTCTTGGTCGCTCGTCCTTGCATCACGTTTGCGCGAGTTTGTGTCCAGTGAAGTTAGTACGGCCTGGCCAGGTTCTTTTTGACTAAGGACCACAGGGTTGTCTGGGAGACATTCCTAGGGGCCCTGCATCCGACCCGTTCGGGGTCCCCTGTAACAATCACGTTCTGCTTAACAAAACTTCAGCGTCCAGAGCCGGTGAAATCCGCGCTTGTATTTACACGAGCTGGTTAATCTTGTGTTTGATGTTTTACGGCAGTCCGCCTTTAAGCACGAACATCATTATGGCCGAAAATATATGTGGAGGGATGCCCATCCCGCACTATGCGCCATTTGACCAGCTGGTCCGCATGTTATTGGCCCAATAATGGGAACGCCTGGTAACCGGCCTCGATTACCAGGCTATAAGGTTACTGGGTCGTTAACGGGCTAGGGTCGTTAATCGGCCAGTTACCCGTAATCAGGCTCCATTACCGGGGTGGTTTACCAGGTCGTTTATCGGGCGGCCAGTTACAAGAACGTCCCCGGTAATGGGGCAATAACATAGATATTATCAGGACGATAACCGACCAAACTCTTACACATTAAACAGCGATTACCAGCTCAATAGCGTGTTCATATTATCCCGCTAACATGCCGTTAACGGGATAACATGAACCCGCTGATGGTGTGACCTATACCGTCCTATGCTGTCCGTTAACATGCTGTTAACAGACAGCATAGGACGGTACAGGTCACACCATCAACCCCTGCTGTCAGCTCTCATTTGCACTTCGAATGGCAGACTCCCTCATACACAAAGCATTGCCCAATGGCCTACTACAACCTGCTCACATCTCTCAATCGGTACCACGAGGACTAGAGGCCCTTCTTTACTCAACATTGAGAATCACTTGAAACTACAGGCGCCCTCCAGGTTCCTGATCACTGCCCGCGGTCTGCTACCTCCGCTGCTTCTTCAGCCCCCCCTTCCGAATCTCTGCCATGGCCTTCTTGCCCTTCTCCTGCTGCACCTTAGCCCCGTGGGTCTGTACAGCTCGGCCGTTACCGACACCAAACGATTCCTTCCTCTTTGCGGGGTTTGACACTGTGGCCCCGAAAGCCGATGGGTCCTCCGGCAACACCAGTGGGGTTTCCTTAGGGCGTGGACGCTTGGTTCGAGCAGGCACCACCATGGCCACCGTTTCTTGGCTCTCCCGAGCCTTAGCCGAGGGTTGCCTCAGGCGTGTGGGCCGCCCTCTGGCATCCAATGCCCCTACAATAAGTGAGAGTGATTCAGAAATTAATTTTTATGTGTAGTCGTAATTTATTGCCATGTTGTTAGTAAGTCGTAATTTATTGTCATGATGAAGCTACAATTTACCTTTGTCATGTTGTCCGGTCACCAGGACCTTGCGGCGCCCAGTTGGTTGAGGCACGGACTTGCTGTGGACCTTCTGGCTTTTGCTTCTGCCGTACTTCTCGAACAGGACTTTGCCCCCCGTCCCCTCGTCCTCATCCCCTCCCTCATCCTCCCCTCCCTCGTCCTCCCCTCCCTTGTCCTCCCCTCCCTTGTCCTCCCCTCCCTTGTCCTCCCAGTCCTCGTCCTCCCCACCCATGTAATCCCCGCTCTCGTACGGCCAGTCCCCGTCCTCCCCACCCTCATCCTCCCCGCCCTCATCCTCCGCGCACTCGCCCTCGCCGTCGTCCTCCCCGCCCTCGCCGTCGTCCTCCCCGCCCTCGCCGTCGTCCTCCCCGCCCTCGCCGTCGTCCTCCCCGCCCTCGCCGTCGTCCTCCCCGCCCTCGCCGTCGTCCTCCCCGCCCTCGCCGTCGTCCTCCCCGCCCTCGCCGTCGTCCTCCCCGCCCTCGCCGTCGTCCTCCCCGCCCTCGCCGTCGTCCTCCCCGCCCTCGCCGTCGTCTTCCCTGCCCTCGCCCTCGTCCCCGCTGTAGTCCCCATCGTCTCCCTCATCCCCATCCTGGCGGCTGCTCTTCTGGCCGAGGGGCTCCTGCTGCGTCTCCATAACGTTGGCCTGGCCTCGGGGTTGTACATTTAGTTGTGAAGTTAGGAAGGGATACAAGCAACATGATGTATTGCATGACAGGGAAGTTTCAAGTAGGTAATGTACATGACCTTCATGTCTGATCTTAGTAACAACGCGTGGGTATTTAGCTTTTACTGAGCAGTGGCGTTCACTTGCTCTTCTTGCGTTCCTGACCTGCAAAAGAGAACACGGAGGCACAGATTGCAAGTGAGGTTGAGGTCGTCTTGAGGTTGCGGTAACGTCCACGTTTTTTCTTTGCATGCATTACCTGCTGGCTGAGTGCTGACCTCGACATGGGCAGTCACCCACTCCTTAAAGAGCTTGGTCGCACCGACGGCGTCCAAAGTCGCCACGGTCTCGAGCTTAGCCTTGTCTGCAGTCGTCAGTCCGATGGCCTTGAAGAAGTCCGACTTCTTCTTCTCTGCATGCATCGGCATCCGAAACGTGGGTTACCCAAACTAACGTAAAGATCAGCACTGTGGGAGTGTGAGGTGTAATGCACAGTTTGATTGAATATCGTTTGGTTTCCGAAACATCACCCTTTCTACCTGACTGATGGTTTGCCATCGCGTTTTGCAGCTTCGCCTTCAAGGCGTCATAGACAGCGTCGTACGTAGCCTTGTCTTCCTGCTGAACCTTTGAGAGGCTGTCTCCAGTCAGTGACTGGAAGAGCGCCGCCATCCACCGCTTCCCCAACTTCTTAAGGTCAACAACGTCGGTTGTGTCCTTCACCGCGCCCTTAAGCCTGTCCTTCTTCGCCAGTGCGGACGACAGGGTGTCTCAGGTAACCCCAAGGATAAGGAACCTGAGAATGTGCCAGCGTTATGTGATCTTGCGCAGAAAAGTACCCATGTCTACTACATCAATCTATGTTGTACCTACCCGCACGTGTACCACTTGTTTATCTTGATGGCGTCGGGCTTCGCAACCTTCTTAACGACCACCTGGTACTTCAATGGTATGGTGGAGGACAAGTGCTTGGCCACTTGCTTGGTTGTGGAAGGCTCAGTTACAGATGAGGCGTTACTGCATGACATGTCAGTGAGAACGGAATGAATGGCAAGTGTTGAAATAACATCGTGACAGAGTTGCAGAGTATCACAAGATAGCCAGCGCATACTGACAGATAGCCTTAGACGGAGATTACATGTGTGAACCCCCCCCCAGGGTATCCGTTACCTTTCTTTATCAAAAGCTTAGTCTGTTGCCCCCCGTTCTGCATACCCTTATTCCTTACCTGTTCCGGCGCTCGTTGTTGTCCTTGGGGACAAGAACACGAAGGAGTGTGATCGACTCCAAGGCGTCGATGCCAAGTGTGGTCACCAGCGCCTCTTGCACGTGCTTGGCGCCGCAGTACTCGGACGCCTTCACTAATTCCGCAATGAACGCGTCCATCTTCAGAGCCTTCTGCCGTAGATAGTTCCTAAGTTTGTGGGCGACTGGACCACTGATGCCATTGGCGCGGGCCACCGCCGTAACGCCCGGGCTGCCATCAAGAGGCCTAGGGAGAGATGGAGGAGAAACGTAGTCTTCTAAAACATCCATGAGCACGGAGTGTGCACACGTGAAAAGGTCGGCGGCTTCAAGTAATTCCAAAATGGATAGCTAAGCTACGTACACGTAACCACTCTTTATAATACCCTATCAAAGTAATGCAAGGGGTTTGTGTTCATTACCGAGTAGGTATGGATTGGCTTTGATCAGTACGACTCTGAGTCGTGTATGGCTTTCAGGGTCGCCGCACACTAACTTTAAAGTTAGTGTTAAAATTTTAAACATTATTTTTAATGTGGACTTAGTGTGCGGCTAGTGGACAGGTGTTTCCACTAAGCGCCCCGGATCCATATGCATACGCGTACGATAGGTTGCTTTAAAGGCACCAAACCATTGTTATAGTAAGAGTGGGTGTAATTTATAAATCACAAATCATTATTGTTTTGTCGGCTAATTGCTGGAGTGTGGGCAATTCGACCGGTCCTGCTGTAAAATCCACTGGCTAGCGGGCTATTTAAAAATGCGGCTGTGGATGAAGGAAAATACAAAAGTCAGCGTAGGGCCTTGAGGATGGAAAATGGCGGACTATGTATTTTCTCGCTCGGAAGTTAATGTCCACTTTGAAAGTTATCAGCGGGTCTGAGGCCCTGATAACTTGTGTGCCACTATTGCGGACTTAGTGTCCGAGGCGTACGCGTACGCACTGGGCCGTTCGGCTTTTCGCGTACGGAGTCCCTTTACGCGATTTCCTAAAGGATTTTTACTTTCTATTAATGTATTTAACTAGTTCCTTATCGCTTGCATGATTTGCTGAGCCAGGCGTGAGATTTTTGAAACTTAATGCTAGTGTGCGGCCAAGTGGAATCACCCTGTTTGTCAGACAATTTAAGGCAACCCTATACCATATTTTTAAGCTTAGTAATCTTTTCTTCCTTGTCTCTCAGCCAGCTCCTGATGTCGGGCTCTGCAGATCGGGAAAGTTGGGAACGAATGCTTCCTCCAGTCGCCAACTGGAGCAAGTTCCTTTCAAGTAATCTGCAACATAACAAAAGGAGAAGTACTGTAAACGTATGCTGCACCTCATACTTTGACCGTAATAACGGAAAAGTGTACGGCATCCATATGTTAGACGGCAAGAACCAAGCAGGCGTGTTACATCCTAATTACTTAACATTATATGTTACCTATCACGTAAATGAAAATGTCGCCGCGACGGTTCCCTGTCTTCATACTTTCTGTGTTTGCTCTCGGAGGGCTACAGAACCGGCAGACCAACCGCCAAACGCTTCAACGATCTCAAACGGTACTCCCACCGCCCGAGCAGCGGAAGCGCCACCACGACGCAGGCTATAGAGAGAATGCAACCCGCGCATATGAGGCAAACCACACTCTGCAAGGACTAAGTCAAACCAACGCTCAGCACCACGCGTAGACTGACCCGCCGGCCACAACCGCGACGGATCACGCAAAAAACGCTGACGGACAGCCCACTGCAGGGAAACGGGCAACCAAACGGCAACCAAACGGCCCTTCCAATTGAGGGGTTTGTACTGAACAACTTGCTCCCCTTGAACGACAGCAACACGCGCCCAGGTTACCGACAGCAGAGAGTCTGGGCGAAGCAAGAGACAGAAACTCAACACGACGAACAACAACGGCAAGGCTAACTCGGAGCCAACGGGTACCACGGCCAACTGCTCATAAAGATGCCAAGCATCACCTGCACTAAAGGCCAACACGAGCACGGAAGCAGGCACCGTTGAGTGCTGCAAGCGCTCCCAACCTCGACGGAACGCGGCCAACAGGGTGTTGTCTCCGGCACAGGGCTTAGGGTACCCGAGCAAGTCATGCACGGAGATAATAGCACTGAAATAAGGCTGCGCTGTGCGGACTTGGATGGAGCCCTTGGCAGCGAGAAACTGACCCCACAAGAGCCCGGCATAATGGGAGGCCGGGAGAAACTCCAAACTTTCCTCCACACAGAAACGCACAAAGGCGGCAAAATGCGACGCATACGACTGCCAGGTTTTGGCGCCAACACGAGACATGACAACCTGAGCAATCTGCAAAAGACACGCAGAATGATCCAGACTAGGAGCCGCGAGCTGCAGCTGCACCACAAACAACTTACTAATGACGGGGGGCGCCGCAACCGACTGAAGATCCAAAGAGTAGCGGGGAAGCGCCACACTATCCGCCCGAGTGCTACACGATTGCGCCCAAGCTAAAACTGCACCCGTACTGCTACGACCTGCCAAGACGGGGGGGGGAGGAAAGTGCTCGACCCGCCCTCGCCCAGTGCAAACATCTCCGTATTCGACGGCAGGAACACCAGGAGTCCGCAGTGCTGCTGGCGCCTCGGGCGCCGCGGGGGCCAACGACATCTGCCGCTACTGTGGACAGCCTGGTCTCTACGTCCGCGAATGCCCCGTTAAGCTGGCGGACGAGTCTGTTGGTCTCTACCGCAGCAATGCGTTCGAGCAGCCATGCAGTGCCGGCGCCGGCAGCAGTGGCAGCGGCAACCGCCATCGTGACGGTGGCGGCGGAGGCACCGGCAGCGGCAATATCAGTAACAGCGGGGGCGACAGGGCACGTGAACGCGGCCATGTTGGACGCGGCAACGGCCGCCGCAACGGCAGCGACACTGCAGGCGGAAGCAGTGGCGGCGGCGGTGGCGGAAGAAGCTCACGCCAGAACCGTGCCACGGTGCTGGTCGTCGATGGCAGTGGTAGCAGTTCATGTGTTGTCCTAGACTCTGGCTCACCTTACCACCTCACGGGTGACCGTTCCTTGGTGCACAATTACATCCCTGTCGGTGCGCCTCAGCAAATCAAGTGGGAAAACAATCAGCTAGCCGACGTCATGGGAACAGGGCAGTTGCTCCTAGGACGCGCGATGGGGAATCTGTCTGGCTGCGCAACGTGCTGCATGTCCCCAGCTCGGGACACACACTCATGTCTGTCGACCTTCTCGTGACGCGCGGCTGCTCGGTCACGTTCGCACAGACAAGACGGGCCGCCGGTTCTCGCGCGTAGGCCTCCCGCACAGCAGCTTGTCTATCACCGCATGGAGCGAGTGTGGGCATTACGTCATGGATGTGGACCTGCTGGCGCCGACCAAACGCGCCATCAACGCGCTCGGCGCCGCGGGAGACAGAGCCGGCGGAGGTGGTGATGCTGGCGGAAGTGCCGCCGACGCCCCCAGCACCCGCGATGGCAGCACAACCAGCAGTGACGCCGGCGGAGACCAGCCGAACAACGGCAGCAACGGCCAAGGGCAACTGGGCGCCACTGAGTGCTCAGTCGTCGAACTCGCAGCAGTGCAGGCGCTGCACTGCTGCTGCACCGCCAGTTTGGCCACCTTGGTTACCGGGCACTGGAGGAGCTCATCACCAAGCAGCTGGTGGATGGGCCACGGGTCATTCCAGCGGCGCTGCATCAGGCGGCAGAGGGCGTCTGCGAAGCCTGCGTCACCGCGAAGACCACAGCTACAGCCCACGTCAGCCGCGGCAACCGGCCTCAGCATGCACTGGAGGTCGTGCACTCTGACCTGTGCGGGCCCATGCCGACCACGGGCCGAGGTGGGGCACGTTACTTGCTAACGCTGCTGGATGGTGCCTCCGGTTTGTCTGCCGTTCGCACGCTGGTTAGCCAAAACCAAGTGGGCAAAGCGCTGCAGGACATGGTGATGCAGCTGGAGGCTCGCCACCCGAACCATGCACTGGTACACACACTTCATAGTGACAACGGTGGTGAGTATGTCGCCGAGCAACTGGAGCAGTGGCTACACCAGCACGGCACTGCGCACACCCACTCGGCGCTGTACACCCCGGAGCAGAACGGAGCAGCGGAGCAGCTCAATCGCATGCTCCTCGACCGTGTGCGGGCTATGCTGTACGATGCCGCCCTCTCGGACAGCTATTGGCCGGAGGCTTTGCTCTACGCCAACCTCCTGCGCAATGTGGCTCCCTCTCAGGGAGGCCACGCCGTGGCCACTTGTCCCCGTGGCCTCCTGGCGGTCGCCCAGCAGCACGTTGAGGCGCCGGATCTGCTTTGTGATGGTGCCACATCCGGCGGCGGGCATCTCCACCTCGGCCATGCAAGACGCCCGGGGTGTCAGGATGAAGGCGCCACCCCTGCTTGCGTAGTCTCCAAGGCCCTGCAGCACGGTCTCGGGGATGTGGCCGCTCACAGGCCGCACAATGACGGCCGCTGGCAGGTACTTGAGCCAGTGGTATGGCCCACGGCCGTCATCTGCTGGCTCGCAGCCATCTTCAAGCAAGCCGCAGGCTTCCACTTCGTTGTTGTGACTCGCCCCGGCATCAGCTGCCGTCGTGTCAAGGAGGATGTAACGGGCGCCATGGTAGTACCATGTGTCGGCGGTGGTGTGGCCAAACTCGTCATCCTTGATCCACATCACAACTGCTTTCTCCACGTGTGTTAAGGGTGGCTCCACAGCGGCGCCGCGCTTCTGGACAGGGACGTGGTCGGCGTTCCACACCATAAGGCGCTGGTTCTTGCGGTGTGCCTCCAGCATGATGAGCCGGGTGTTGAGCATGTGGCGTGGTTCGTTCCTCTGCAGCACGACGCGCGGCTCAAGGTGTGCCAGGTCTGCCAAGTCGATGATGGCGCAGCTGTTGAGGTCATCAACCATCTCTGCTATGCGCTGCTCGGTGGCTGGCTAGCCGCCGAACATAAAGGCGTACTCTGTCAGGCGACGACCAGAGGGACTGCTGTCCTGGCGCTGCTGCTTCACCAGCAAGAAGACCGTCTTGGCCAGGGCTCGGTAGACCCGGAAGCCCTCGAGGATGCGGCTCTGGGTCTGTGGGACGGCCCGGGTGTGGCGTGCTGTTACTTCGGCTTGCTGTTTGCCGCCTTGAGCTCCAGCAGCAGCATCGTTAGGGACGCCATTGTTGTCATCCTCTCCGTGCAGAGGTTGCGCAGTCGGGATGGAGGGTGAGAACTGGGGGTTGTGTTCCACAGCAGCGGTGTACCGATAGAGGGGTGGCCCACCTGGCTTTGGGTGCTGGAACTCATCGCCTGTGTTGGCGCTGGGGCGGCCGCTGAAGATGGTGGCGGCGGGGTGGTCGCCGGCGAGATGTGATGGCGGCAACAGGTGATGGGTGCATGACTGGTTGCACGCGCCCAGGTGGTCTAGGCTGTTCATGCCGATCTCATCAATCATGAGCGCACCAGTGCCGGCATTGCGGTGCACCTGTAGGCTGGCAGCGCTGCCTTTCCTGACACTCTCCGCTCGGTTGTTGCCAGCGGAGAGGGCAAACATGGCGTGGGTGGAGAGGCTGCGGTGCACTGGCGTGTCGAAGGCAGCTGCGGCGGCCCAGGAGTAGGCGCAGGTGGCCGCCCAGTGCGGGCAGCCATGCTGGAATGTGTACCAGAGCAGCGCCTGTATGAATTGGGTCTTTCCGGTGCCGGGCTTGCCCTCCACCAGCATCTGCGGTGGGTCGCCAGGGTCAGGCTCATCACGGCGGTCGAAGTACTGGGCCATAAGCATGAAGGGCACGGCCTGGTGCAGGGCGAGCATGAAGAGCTCGATGGTGTCATCGATGCTGGGCGGCTGAGGGAGGTGTACATAGATGGGCATGTGAGCCTGTTCAATCCGCTCAGGGGTGTCAGTCATGCGCACGACGGCGACCAGGGGTCCGTTGGTGGGGCGGTGCAGCTCGAGGCGAGGTGTGTCCATCTCAGGTGTGTTTGTCAGGCCCGTGTGGCGGCAGTCCAGGATGCGTGCACCAGGCGGCGGTGTGCCCGACTCCCATGTTTTGTTGGAGAGCTGCGACAGGATCTCGTCATCCATCGAACTCTTCCACTTGTCAGCTTGCGGACTCGCCACCGCTTCCTCATATTTGCGCGGCTCCTGCACCGCGCTGTGGCCTCCGCTGTCTGCACTGCCGTCGGGCATGTTAAGCTCCTGCGCAGCACTATTGTGTCCGCCGTTGGCACTGCCGTCGGGCACGTTAAACTCAGCGCGATCGGTGCTACCCGACGCTTTGTTAAGCAGCGGTGGACTACCCAAATCTCCGCCGCCGCAGCTGCTGTTGTTGGCCAGGCTGACCGGGGCCAGCGGTGGGTGCAGCGGTTGCCGTTGACTGCGAGTGTTAGGGCGGAGGGGGGCGCTGGGTTCACTGGGGGCAGGGCATCCACTTGAGTTGGCGGTGTGGCAGGCTGTGTTGAGCCGCCGACAGGGTCGCTGCCGCCAGGACGGGCGGGGCTGGTGCCGAAGGGGGTGCCCGCCCGTTGAGATGCCGGGCCGCGGTGGTCATCATCGAAGGTGACGTCACTGCTAACACTCACCTTGCCGTCAACAAGGACACAGTGGGCGGCCGTGTTGCGCTCCGGTCCAAGGTAGGTTCCCGCCTTCGCGCGGGGACCGAGCTTATCCTGCTGGCTGGCTGGGATGCGGACGTAGGCCAGGCAGCCAAAGGTGTGCAGGTGGCTGACGTCAGGGGTGACGCCATGATAAGCTGCCCACGGCGTGGCCTCCCGGTGGCCTCCTGGCCGTCTTGTGGGCCGCCAAAGCGGTACCTCGTCGCAGCAGCAGCTTGCATTGTTGAGGCAGACGGGGGCGTTGGGTTTACAAGATCAAACAGGAGCCAGGCAGTGAGGTACGCTATAAGTCGCGTTTGGTGGTGAAGGGCTTCGAACAGCGCGCGGGCATAGACTACGGAGAGCTGTTTGCACCCACCACGCGTGCAGCCTCCCTGCGGGCACTTCTAGCTGTGGCAGCGGCCATGGGTATGACGGTCCATCAGATGGACGTCAAAACGGCTTTCTTAAACGGCGACCTGGCAGAGGAGCTGTGGATGCGACAGCCACCAGGTTACAGCAACGGCGACCCGACGCAGGCGTGCCAGCTGTTAAAGTCCGTCTACGGCCTCAAGCAAGCCCCATGCTGCTGGTACGAGAAACTGGCGGCGGAGTTGGGCAAGCTAGGCTATGAGCCGTCTATGTCCGACCCCGCACTATTCGTCAAGCGCGGGTCCGACGGCTCAATTTATGTGCTCGTGCACGTTGACGACATGCTGGTGGCGGCACACAACCTGCAATTGGTCGCGGCCGCCAAGGCGGCCATAGCTGGTTGCTTCGCAGTACGAGACCTTGGAGAGGCGCGCTACTACCTCGGCATGGACATCATCCAGGACCGCCGCAAACGCAGCATCATGCTTACGCAGCACAGTGCTGGGCATCACTTAGATCGCCAGAGGAGGAGTGCTGAGGGCTTTGAGGATCGGCCTCAGTTCATTCCTTTTTTCCAAACGCCAAAATGGCCTGTTTATTACTTTTAAGGAATATATTACTTTAAAAAAAGACACTGAGCTGAGTACCGGCCATAGAGGGCTGTCCTTGCTGCTGTAAATTAATGCGAAAAACCAGCCCCGGTTACTGCCCAGTAACGATCAACCTGGTAACCCAATCGTAACCACCCCCATTAACGACCCCCGGTAACCATCCACCTGGTAACCGGTCTCCGCATACCCCGTTAACGACCTAAATTGCCCGATAACCGGGCAAGTCTATGTGGTAGGGCTGCAGCCTTTCATCCACACGAAGCACCGGCCAATATCATCTGGATTCGGCGTAGATTGTCACTAGGCAAATAATTTCCTTGCTTTTCTTTTGTTATTGCTGGTGTTTTCGCTTGATTTCTTAGTTCCTCCTTTCCCTCTCCCTTGTTGTTTTCGCGGTCCATGAGCCTCCTGGCTCGTCTGGGCCTCAAGAGCTCTTAAGAGCTTGTAACATCAACAATAGAACCGTAGGTCTTGGTAGTTGCGGCAATGGAACTGCGAATATTTGCTTTGCAAGTCATAGACAGCTGCATCCTTCATGTCAGGAGCGGCGGGCAATGGTAGGCATGTAGCGGATGGCAGGCTCTGGCCCACCGCATGCCACCCATGGCTTTATAGGGAACAGAGCCTACGTAAAGATGCAGCAGCGTGTTCTCATTAGTGGAAGTGTAGCTGAAAACTTACCGGACAGCGGCATATAGCACTTGCGTGGGGTAGGTGACAATTCTGCTATGGATCCTACGTCCTTATCGGAGCCATCCCCTGCTTTGTTAAAAATAAACAACACCCTAACCAGCGCGCACCCAACAATACGCAGCTGGTGTGCTGGGAACCCCAAGAAAGGGGAAGGGCCTTCCTTTCAAATCTTCCGGCAGTCCTAAGGTTATCCGGGTTTGCAACGTAATCCACCTTTGCGTTGGCAGCTTAACTGACCGCTCAAGAGCTAGCTGCCCTTTGCAGACAGGCATAAAAGCAAGCGGGTGCACGCGGTATGATTTGCCTCCATTAACGTTACATGCGATACCGCGGCCCGCGCGCCACAGTACGGCGCTGCTGCTGGGTTGCCCTTGCCTTACAGGGGGCCGGGGACGTAGGACTCCCCAGCGATGTGCAATTGTTCCTATCTTCTCCGATGACCTTGGTTGTGAAATGGTAGTATTGGGTGCTTTGTATTGGGCTTAGATCCCGCTCTGCCTTCATCCCTAAGCTTTAAGTGTGTGGCGGCCTAAGAGCAGCGTGAGGGAATCTTGCCCGAGTAAGTCAGTGCAGCCGCTGGCCACACCTAGCTACCTCGCATCGTTTGGTGACTCCTCCGTTTGGTAACTCGCTTCTAGGGCTCTCGGTGATTGCTTATGGGACGTAATCGAAAGCAAGGCCTGTTGTGAAACTGGTTTGCTGCGGGGGCCCCGCCTCTTTCCGTGAATCGGGCAGAAGAGAACCGTCGCGCATCAGGGGAGAACTCCCGTGATCATGCCACGGTGCTAGCCGGCCAGCTCCAGTGAGCCGCCCAGCAACCCCATCGGTTTCGTATACTAGGTCAGTTGCGGGGACCTTCTTATAACTCAAAACTATCACCTCTCTATGGTCGGCCTGTGCCTCGCTTCGGTGACTTGACCTACGCAATAGCGCCTAATCAAATTGGGCCAGGCTTCGCGTCGGCGTGGTCCCACGTTATCATTTGTTGAATTCACAAGGTGCTGCACGGGTATGCTGGCTTGGCTTTCCCGAATTCAGAACCCCAAAGGTCTGTGACGCTTGCAAAGCAATTTAATACCAGGCCAGCTAAAAGGGTCCGATAGCACATCGGTAATTAGCAGGATACATGCAGTTCTTATCTACTACAGAGCACATAACAGACCGTTTTAATCACGCACCCGTTGCTGTCCCAACTGTCCCGCCAAAACGTTCGTACGGGCCGTGTTTACTGTTATCAACTTATTGCTTGCCACTTGTACCGCCAGATTCGCTTCACGACAGGACGTTTGCAAACTTTGACCAGGTATGAGGCACGGGTGTCTTGGAGCGTACCGATGCTGACGGCTTTCATTTTGGAACGGATCATTTCTGTGTTGATCAAAGGAAGAGTGGGTTGGAAGAGCATTGAAATGCTATTATACTAAGTTCCTAAGCTAAGCAGGGCAGGAGCGGAGGCAGGCCAGCCGCGCAGCTGGGAGAATGGTCCGTTTGGCGTCGTTCGCTGCTCGGAATGCAGGGCCGCGGGCACAGGCGAGTAATATACGCACTTTGCAGGAAGCGTCAGTAATTTGGAGTGTTGTGTTCGGGGACTCTGCCAGCAGCAGAAGGGCAGGTGCAGTCGCGGAACTACAATTAGGGTGACGGCTGCAGTGAGGACATCAGGATGAGGGAGGGGGACTCGATGGGTACTATCCTTTATGGGAAGGGGTACACAACACGCCCAATACGCACGTTAAAACCCGCCCAGGAAGAGAAACCTGAAAACCATCTGATACTGTCTTTCCGCTCTATCCGAGTTACGATGAGCACACATACATTTACCAGTGAACAAAGGAGGTCTCCCAACCCAGGTCCTGAACCTCACGTGTCCCTTCCAGCGCTGGCATAGTATGGGGCTCTGTCGGGAGTCTCTAAAGACCCCATCGCATAGCGGATCCTACTGGTTCTGTCCCTCCTCCCCCGCGTCGTGCCCCTTAAATGTCCTAGGTCTTCACCCTGATGCTCCTTTAGCAGCTAGGCAGATCACATTGTTTCCATCAGATTCATTTCCTCCTTTTCTAGAACGCAGCTCCTGGCGCTGTTGCTGTTTCCGCTGTTTCCGTTGCTGCTGCTGCACCTGTCAACACCTCGATCGTCATATTTTTTCTCTGATCCGTATGCTTCTCCCTGGCGGACACCGGCTCTGGCTGCTGCTGCTCCCGCCTCCGTCCCTTTCTGCATCTGTGGCTCCCCTCCAGGCGGACCGTGGTGCTTCCGGGGGCTCAGCAGCTCCGGAGCTAGAGCCCGAGGAGACACCGGAGGCGCAGGAGGCCAGACTGGTGTGGGAGGGGGAGGGGGAACGGGGAAAGGCGAACCACGAGCGAGTGAAGCTGCTGCCAGGGTGGGAAGGGGGGGAGCGGAACGCATGGAGTAAAACATGGAACGATGGGACAGTCTTGTGGGTCAGCGGGGGGAGCTCTTCCGCACTTTGCTCGACGGACTGGGAGTAAAGCCGATGCATGGCATCACATAGTCGATGCGCGCAAAACCACTTCTACCAGGCAAATGACTTTCATCATGAGTGCAGGACTTCCGTTTTCACAGGATTCCGGTTATTATTATCCGGTTTAAAGCCGCATGGTAGATAAAGAGCTGATTGCACGGTTTCGCCCTCTCGAGTACGTATATTCCCACTTTTTGACTTTTCGTGCTTGGTCCGCGGTCCTCCTCTACAAGAGGTCCAATTTCCTAGACCCGTTGCCGATGTCCAGTCGCACTTTGCGACTAGAAGGCCTGTGTGTGGCTGAAGCCGTGCCATGCCTCACAATGCTGCAAGGAATTTCCCTTGCAGTGCCCCGGGAACCTATCGCACCTATCCACCTCATGCTAGCAGCACCCGCCTCTGTCGCTGTTCACAACAGCCATTTCCTTACCGCACCCGTGGTTGCAGGTGGCCCAGTACCAAACAGCGCTGCTGAGCGCAGCGGAGGGCAGGCCGCAGCAGGCAGTGGAGGGGTTCCAGGTATGCTACATGGTGACGCTGCAGCGGCCGAGAGAACGCCGTCGGGAAGGGGGTTTTTGACCTTGGACCTTGGAATGAGAGCAGCCCTGTACGGATTTGCTGGGCTGGTTGGCGCATTTGGGACGGGGGTGCACCAGGCTGGCTAGGCTGGGCACGCCACTATCTGGCGGGTTTTGTATGTATGTTCAGTTGCCTTCCTGGAAGGCCCGGTTTGGCGCTGGATGGCGCTGGTTGACGGGTCGCTTGCACTGGTGTGTGTAAGAGGGTGGATTTCCTCGGCTGGGGGAATTGTTTTTCAACTCCGGTCCACGCCGTTTCCTGGTCCCAACCCCCCACAGGCTGTGCTTAGCCATCCTCTGTTGGCTGCGGGTCCGGAGGCAAGTAAGTGCCGCGTGTGTGTCTGAACGTCTTACGGGAGATGCTGCTTTGACTGTATGCTGAACAATGTTGCGAATGCCGAGAATCTGAATCAATCGCCCAACTTTGAAGTTTTTGCCCGCTGTAGGGAAAGCCTCCTCCTCACGCACATAGGTGTGTGCAGCCTCAGAGGGCTGCGTGGCGACGCTTTCATGGAGGACTTTTGCCCGCTGCCATCCACACATAACCACAGACTACCCTACCCCACACCCTACCCCACCCGTACTGAGCCTGCTGGCGCCCTGGTGTGTTGCAGCCACCCGCGCTACGCTACGTGAGCTGCGCTTCCTGGCCACACGCAATCTGGCCGACCAGCTGGGGCTGCTGGAAGAGCAACAGCAGGTGCAGCGGCTGCGGGCGCAGGAGCAACCGGGGGAGCCTGGAGCGTACACCGGACGTACGGAACACCGCGAGGCCGTGGCGGCCATAGGAGAGGCTGCGGGAGCGCGGAGTCTGGAGAACTCTGAGTGCGGCTGGGCGGGAGGCAGCTGCACTGGGGGCGGCAGCGGCGGCGGCCATGGCAGCACGACGGCTCTGCGGCTGCAGCTGTATGGCGAGGCCGTACTGCAGCAGCATGTGGACCTGCAGGTATGTATGTACGTATGTATGCATGGCTTGGGTATGGTACACAGGCTTGAAATCTTGCTTCACCTGGAACCGGAAAGAGGAATAATACCCGCTCGCCCAGAAGCCTCAGGCGCCACACCTCTCTGTTCCTGCATCGCCGTGCCATCGCCATGCAGCCCGCAGCCGTGGCGTCCGCCGGCTCCGGCCCCCTTACTGGCTCCAGAACCTTGCCCGGCGACTCAGTGTTATGGCACCGCCTAGCGGACGTAGCCCTCCAGGACGGTCGCTTGGGGCTGGCACGGTACGCCCTGGAGTCTGGGCTGGGAGCGTCGGGTGGCCGCCATGTCGTACTGTTGGAGAAGCTTCTGCAGTTGCAGCTCCGTACGGATGACCTGGCGGGGGCGCTGGGAAGCTGCCGCCGCCTGGCAGCGTTGGATCCGTACCACCCATGGTTGCAGCCCGCCTCCGCAGATGCATGGCGGCTACCATGCTCTGGCGAAGGTAGCAGCGGCAAGAGCTTGCAGTCGCGGCTGCTGCAGCTGGTGGACCCTCAGCAGGCGGCGCTTGAGGGGTTTCTGGAGCGCCAGCGGTTGGAACAGCAATATGTCTACGGATATGGGTACGGACCGCCGTATGACACAGCCGGAACGGCTGTTTTGTATGCAGAAAGAGATGGGAATGGCGAGCTGGGCACGGGGTTAGATGCAGCGGCCGTTGCGGCGGCGGGGTTGCCGCCGCTGGAGGCGCCGGCGCTGGCGGGGCTCCTGCCGGAGGGCCTGCCGGCCAAGCGGCGGCGGCTGGCGGCGGGGGTCGTTTCAAACGCTGATGCACCGCGAGATGGTGATGTAGTTAACCTGGAGGTACCGATCGCAACGCATGCCAGGCCGCAGCTGGCACACTTGTCACCCGCTGCTGCAGCTGCTGTTGGTAGTGATGCAGCGGTCGTTGTCCAGGGGCAGGTGGCTTTGACGAACCCAGTAATAGCAAGTGACGGCAGGACTACGGCCCAATCGTCCGTGCTTGACAGCGTCACAGTATTGACTGCAATAAACAGGGTTTTGCGGGGCCTACCGCTGGGCCAGTCCAGCGGCACCGGCAGAGCCGCCACTGTCACAGCAGGAGCAGCAGGCATCGATATGTTGTTCGGAAAGGTTTTGCGCTTGACACCCACGTCTGCGGAGAAAACCGCAGGCGCCAGCCCGGCGGCATTGGATGCCCGGATGCTCAGCCAGGATCCCCACGATGGCGCGGCGGCGACAGCGACGGCGGCAGGAGCATCCAGCCAGGGTGCGGCGCCGCCAGGGAGCGTAATGGAGGTCGACGGCGGGGGCGGCGCTTCCGCCGCTGCTACTGCCGGAACGGCAGCGGATGGGGTTATAAGCGACGGGATCGAAGAGCCGGAGGGCTCATCTCAACCGCTACCAAAGGCTATGGCGGGACATGTTCAACGGCATGGCGGCGGTGCTGCACGTGGACTGGCTGCAGCCATGGCTGCAGCGGCCGTCGAGCCGGCACCAGTTCGGACGAGCGCTAGGAGGGCTGCCCGCGACGCCGCTGCGGCCGCGGCCGCCGCTGCGGCATCCGGGCCCACGGAGGCTGACGGCGGCGGTGCTGAGCTGGCGGATACGGTTGACCACGCACTAGCGGCAGCGGTGGCGGCGCGCCACCGGGCAGCAGCTGGCGGGGGTGGATCCTCCGCCGCCAGCGGCGGCGCAGCAGGAGCGGCGGCGGCAGGGGAGGAGCCTGTAGCTACAGCGTTAGCATGGCGGCGCCTGTGGCAACAGCTACAGCGGTCAGTTGGCCTGCCGGGTGAAGGGCCGGCTACCGTGCTGCCACTACCGCCGCCAGGGTCCGCCGCCGGTGTTACGCGTGCGTCGCTTTCGCCGCCGGACAAGTCACAGCCGCCGTTGACGACCGCCGGCGGCACAGCAGGTCAGGTATCTCCGTCTGCTCGCGCGGCGCTGACAAGCGCCGATACGAACAGGACGGTGTCTGCCGGCAGCGGCAGCGCTGCTGGCGGCCCCGCCTCTACCGCCGCCATCGGCGCAGCCACCCGTGCCGGTCGCCACGGCCCAGGGCTCCATGGTTTGCGACAGAGGTGGCTCGCGGGTAGTCCGACCCGTGCCGCTGGTAAGGGTACGGCATCCCCTGATGCACATGCTAACAGCCGATTGGGCGATGTCGGCGGCCACAAAGGCGGAGGCGGTAATGCGCATGCCGGGTGTGCGTCGTCGCCCTCGTCAAGCAATGGCCCAGGGCCAACGATTGAAACTGGCGGCGATGGACCCATGGGTCGCTGTCTTTTGGACGGGGCGGGGATCCAGACAGTTGCGACTGCAGCACTTCTCCGCGTGCTGTTGGAACCCGCGGACCTGCGAACTTGCCCGCAGCTGGTACGGCAGGTCCTGCTGCTGGAGCCGTACGCCAGCCAAGCGTTGTACGAGACTGGCGGCGGAGGCGCCGACGCCGCGGCAGCAGAGGCAGCCATGGCACGCTGGGCGCTTCTGGCTGCACTCCATTTGGAGCAGACAATATTGCTCCAGGATGGCGGCGGTGATGGTGGTGGCGCCGCCACCGCCGGAGCCACCGGCGGGACTGCAGAGCCGCCGCCGGCTGCCTGCACCGCGGCCGGGTCCAAGGCGGGGACCGCCAGGCCGCGGCCGCAGCCGAGGAGCAAGGCGGCAGCCGCGGCGGCGGCAGCAAGGGCCCCGACCGAGGCAGCGGCTACAGGGGACGCTGCGAAGTCGAAGGTCACGGGCAGAAGCGACGGCGCCGCAGCGGCAGCGGGGGCGGATGGGCTGGGTCACATGCATGCTCACGAACACGTGAGGAGGGCTGAAGAGCTCCTCAGGCGGTTGTTGGCGGAGGCTGTGCTGCTGGGCCTGAACGTCGCGGTGGGGCTGCCACATCCAGTGCCGACGGACGAGTGCGCGGATGCCGCCGCTGATCCCGGCAGAGGTGGTGGCGCTGCATCTGGATCTGGGCCGGGATCTGCAGCGCCGAAGGCGGCGTTAGGCAGTGTGAAGACGGCCGCGACAGCAGCCGCGGCAGCGATGAACGAGCCGCCCTATATGCCGATGGGTAAGGCGTGCATGGGTTTATGGTCTGTTCTGGTCTGCACAGGCCGGAACGGAAGTTGTCGCTCATACTTTGCTTAGAGCTTGCAAAACAAATTCCTCCCTTTTCCAGCGTTGTCCGTATTTTTCAACTTGATGCGACGACAATTCCTTTCATCTCCCAACTGTTCCATGCGACACACTGCCTGGTTAAGACAGGCAGCATCTATGCAAACCCATGTCTGTCTGTTATGTCTATGGCATACTTGCGTGGCACCGTCGTACACCCCTTGAAATACGTGGTGTTCAGCATATCGCACGTGTGCTGCTTTTTTATTGAAACACAGATTGCATGTTGGCCGACCCCGATGATGCGGAAAATGATCCATCAGCGGCGCCAGTGGCGCCGGCGGCGCTGGCGTTGGATACGGCGCGTCCACGTACTCCATCGGCGCGCGTACCCCGCCGTGCGATGTCGATGTACTTTTGGCTCCGGGGCCATTTACTGGAACGTGAAAACAAAGTGAGAGGAGTCCTATCGATGGAAAAAGGGGAGGGGAGGGGAGCCGCGTTGCGGTGGCAGTTTGACTTGCTGGCGCCGCGTGGGGCTATTGAAGTGGGCTGGATACCACCCTGAACGGCGATGTGCGATTTTAGTCTGCGGGCTTGGCGAATGGCCAGCCATCAGCCTGTTGACGGGTATCGGACTTCGGCCGCGTGTTTTGGGCCCTTGCCTTGGTAACCTTTTTGGGCGTTCCTGGCCTACACAGTGTTTGCGGGTGGCGGGCAGAACCGACTGGATACGTTGTGGCGTCTTAGGGTTTTAGAAATCGTACATCATATGCTTATGATCCCTAGGACAGAGTCTTCGTTTGCAGGACTGAAATGGAGTCTGTTGACCGTTGATCGTTGCGGCCGTTTCTGTTATCTCCCAGGTCCTTGATGCCCAGACTGCGTACCTTCGCTGTCTGGACTTCCTGCCGGATGATGTTGAGCTGGCAACCAGCCAGAACCCAAGCTGGGAGGGTGGCCCGACGGCGGCGGCATCAGACGGTGCGCATGCCTCCGGACCAGCAGCATGCCAAGAAGAGGTGGGCGGCATGGGCAGGTTGACCGGTCGCAAAACGCATGCAGACGGCACCGGTGGCGGCAGTGGCAGAGGTGAGGTCTGGCCCGGGTGCTGGGATCTGCCTGGCTGTGGCCTCGTCCGGCCGCCCACGGCGGCGGCAGTGCAGATGCGCGTGCGGGCACTGGAGGTTTTCCGTACGATGGCGGCTGCGGAGCAGCTGGCGGCGGCGGGTGAACATGAGCAGGTTGTGGAGCTGCTGCGCGACGTGGCGTTTCCGCGGCGGCAGGTGGAGATGGCGGCGGGATCGGGTGCGGTGACAGCGGCACCGGAGGTTGAGGACTTGCCGTCGAGCAATGCTATGCAGGCTGTGAGGGCGGAAGTGGGGGCCAATGGATCGCCTGCGGCTGCTGCCGCTGCGGCACGTAACCAGGCCCGGGTGCAGGTGAGAGCCGTGCAGCTAATGAAGGCGGCGCTGACAGCGCTGTTGCAGCCACCGCCGTTATCATCTCCAGAGCGGCCGACGCTGCAGCAGCAGCAACAGCCTCGGCAGGCCCAGCGGCAAGAGCAGCTGCAGCGGGGAGCTGCCTCGCATGGAGAGCAACAACAACCGCCTACCGTTGGCGCGCAGCTACAGCCGTCGCCGCCGCAACTGCCGCAGCCGGCGTTACCGCAGACAGGCAGTCGCACGACAGGTGAGGCCCCGATGGAAATTGATCAGGTCGCGACGGCGCCTGTCCATGGTGAAATTTCTGGTGATGCAGCAGTGGTGGCGACGGCGCTGGATGCTGCAGCGGCCGAGGATGCAGCTGCTGCTGCTGCCGCCGCCGCGACGGAGGCGGCAGCGGCTGCGGACCGGCAACGTGCGCTTCGCATTGCGCAGCGCCCGTACCGGGAGCTCCTGCTCCGCTGCAACCTGGCGCTAGTGTGTTACGGCCTCCGTGGAGCAATTGCAGCAGCAATGGAGCCGCTGGCTTTGGATACGTCCGCCGCCGCTGCGTCAGCAGCGGCCACGACACTACGCGGGCCAGCGGCGGATGTTCGTGAGTGTGTCGCTTCGTTACGGGCCTGCCGGAGGGCCGCCGCCGCCGCCGCCACCGTCGCCAGCTTCCCGCTTGACGGGAACGACGGCGAGGAGGTCGACGCTGCGACGGTCCCGCGCGGCTCTTCGGTTAATGCAGATGCTGACGTGAACGCCGACACCCTGCCGCCAGCCTGCCTGCCTTGGGTTCGGCAACTTCAGTTACGCCTCCTGTCGTACATGCAAACTCTGCATTCAGTTGCCTTGCTTGTGGAACCTCCGGTGGCGGCGGCGACAGGGCTGGGGCCAGGTGCATGGACCGCCGGCGGCGGTGGTCACGGTCCGAGCCGCCTCAACAATCGCGTCCAGCTCTCAAAAGCGCTGAAAGGCCTTATGCTGGATGTGAGCTTGGGCATCATGGCATGCCACCGCCTGGACCCCCAGGCCGCAAGTAACCCTGACATCTGCCACAGCCTTATTACAGGGCTGGCGACGGTATTGTGCTGTAGCCGGCCCGGTCTTGCCGTAGCAGTGGCAGGGGGCCATGTAGCGACGGCGGCGCCGCCGGGGCCGCCAGGGACTGTTGGGCCGCCTTCTGCCGTTGCTAGCACCACTGCCAGCGGAGGCGGCGGAGGCGGAGGCGCCGCCGCAGCAGCCGCCGCGGCCGCGGCCGCAGCGCCGTGGGAGCTGGCGCCTGTCTTGCGTGAGGCCCTGCGCTTGCTTCAACCACACGTGGAAGAGCTGGCGTGTGGTACATCGAGCCTTTTGCACGGGAGTCAGCGCACTGGAGCCAGAGCAGCAACTAGCGCTGCCACAGTCACAGAAGCTGCTGCCTGTGAGCGGCACCTGTCCAGTGCCGCTACCACTGGCACATGTAACGACATGGCGGTCGGCACCGAGCCGGCTGCGATGATCGTTCCGGCCGGACCCGGCGGCGGACGGCGTAGCGAGGACGACACGGACGTGGTGGCATGCGACTCGGACGGCTGTCCCTTACAACCCGGCTTGTTTGCGGTTCAGGTGTTGTCCTGGCGAGAGGCAGACGCTGAGGGAGACGATGCCAGTGGAGATGAAGCCGATGGCTGCGCTGCTGCTGAAGGGCCTGGGCCCGGGGACGCTTGCGGCACGACAGCGGACATTGCGGATGCAAGGGTCGTTGGTGCCGCCGGGGCGGCCGCGGGCGCTGCTCCGTCCAATGCCGCTGTGGCAGCAACGGCGGGGGCAGCTGGCGGTTGTGTTAACGGTTGCGGAGCAGTGCTGTCTGATCTCAAGTCCTGTATGCCGCTGAAAGCCGCTGCCGCTGTGCTGATTGCCATGGAGCGCGCCCAAGGCGGCAGTGGCCGGGACGGAGGCAGCGGCGCGCTGGGGCATCTGGCAGCGACGGAGGTTCAGGTGGAGCGCCAGGTGGCAGTTTTGCGAAAGCTGTGTGGGGCGCAGGCGCAGCTGCTGTGGCTGCTTTTCGGCGTGGACTTTCCCTGGCGGGATCGCAGCTGGGGCTTTGGACTTCCCACTGCATCGGTGCGTATTTGCAGGGCTATTTGGACTCTGCCTTGCCTCAGCTATCCATGCGTGCATGTATCTGCCCACGAGCGGAAGCATAAGGTCTCGGAGCCCTCCTCTTGAATATGTTAAAAGTTTTCTTGAGTAGTTGCCTTACCGCTTAGGGGTCATACAGACGAAGGGGTACCTGCAGGCAGAAAACTTGTGCTTGCTTCCGTAGGAGGGAGCGAGCCTGGTTACCGAAGCGACTCTCCTGCTGTACGCTGTAGGTTAGGGCAGAAGCCGCAGTGGAAACCTGTCAGTACTGACGCTATGAACTCGCGAAATTATTCTTTCCGTCGCACTCCTGCGACTTACCCTAGCCCTGTACGGTCCACCCGTACGCGCCAACGACATTCAACCGAGTACGCTCTCGGCAAATACACAGGGAACCTTGGCTTTCTTTCGTTTCATTCAGAAAACCTACAGTTTCACATCGAACTCCCCTCCCGTGTCGATTTCTTTATGATCTTTGCACAGGCGGCCGCCGAGGCGGCTGCGGCGGATGGAGCCAGCGACACGCCCTTCGTGCCCGGTACCGACGACGCGCTGCTGCTCTGGCGCATTGCGGGACCGCACGCGGTACTGCTGGCCGCGCCGCCGGAGGTGCCGGGCATGTCGGCGGAAACGCACGCGGCCCTGGAGGCTGGGTTTGCGGAGCAGCTCGAGGTGATGCAGCGGCGTGGGAGGGTGTCCATTATTATATAAAGTCTATAAAGTTTGATTTTTGATTTTTTGATTTTCTTGTCCAACAACACGACCGTGCTCTGTGGTTCCTTGGTGGCCAGATGCGACAATGATATGGCGCCCTCATACCACCACACGGCTTGTTTAGGGCACTACTGCGTTGCACCCCTTGGGAGCTGGGCTCCCGGTATGCCACCTCCAAAGGCCCCTTGATTCCAGAACGAGGAGTCCGCTGCCTACTCCACCTCTCCGTTTCCTAACACACTACTAGATGACACCCTCTACAGCTTATCGTCTTTCCAATCACACGTTGGAAGCAGCAACTGATGTCTGGTGGGGGGCTGCTGCTACTGCTGATGCCGTTGCAGGGCCTGCTGCCCACCCTGGACTTCCTGGCTGCTTCTCTCCCTGCTCTGCCCGCCGCCGCCCTCACCTCGAGCTGCGTCCACCGCTACCTCCACAACCCTGCCCCGGACAACCTTCTCTTGGCCCTTAGCCCCGCGGAGCATCTGCCGGAATGGCTGCGTCCCACAGTGCCTCCACAGCCTTCACCACCACTGCAGCAGCGGGATGATGATGATGATGATGAGGAGGAGGTGCGACGGCATGTCGCATTGTGTGTCATTGCCGGTGATGATGTGGAAATGTCTACAGAGAATGTGGAGATGGCGACAAGGCGTGTGAAGGCGTTAGTGCGGGACTCGGGCATGCCGTTGGAGGGCGGCCCGGCTGGCACTGCCAGGCAGGATTGCCAGGCTTCGATGCAGGACAGGAACGGCGCGGTAACGGTCGCAGATATCAGCCCAGCGGCCCGTTATTCTCCTGTGCTGGCAGCGGCGGTGGCGGCAGGAGCCCGGGGGAACAGGAGGAGTGAGTTGGAGTTGGAATCGGAGTCACTGCGGCGAGCGCGGGAGTTCCTGGCGGCGGAAGCCCGGCGGCAGCGGGATTCAAATCCGCTGTGGGAGGTGCGTGCCGTTGACCTGATCTGGCATAACCTGATCTGACCACACACATACATACAATGCCCTGAACCTATTGCAGACAATAGGTTCAGGGCATGATATGTATGTGTGTGGTCAGATCAGGTTTCTGCAAATGCTTTTCCTGGTCCGGGCAGCTACAGTGCTGCTGCCGCGATGTCGTGGCCGATATGCCTTTCGCAGTAGCTGCTGTTGCTGCTGCTGCTGCTGCTGCTGCGTTCCTTGTGACTCATGCTGTCCTGCCATTTCCTGATCTGTCCGGCGTTGCGTCATATCCCCCCCGCTGCACAGCTCATCTTCCCTGCCCTGGTCCGTCACCTTCCCTCTTCCTCGTTCGTGGTTCGTCTTTCCCCTCCCCGTCCTCCTCCGTGCTCGTGTTTTGGTTTTGTTCAGTTATCCGTTGCTGATTCGGGTTCGCTTGCCCTATCCCTTTCCCCGCTCCATCCACCTCCGTCATTCCTCGGCAGTTTTTCTTACTCCAGCTCTCTTGCCGCGTGTGCCGTCATGCCGAGTGCAGATTCACCGCTGGCTGTTCTTCTGCATCCTCCGCGCCCGAGGACTGGACGAAGACCCCTTTCAGAACCAGACCGGCGGTGGCAGTGGTGGTTTCGGAGCTGCCGGCGGCGGCGGGAGTTCTCCGGCCGCCACCTCTGCCGGTGCCAGCCTGCTGTGTGCCGACAGCGAGTCTTCCGCGGAGCTGGCGGCGGATGCGGCTGTGGTGCTGTCGGACTTGGCGCTGAACCCCAACAGGCTGCAGTCATGGGGAGCTCTGCAGGCGCTGTACTCTGAGGCTGTCAGGTGAGCCCTAGGTAGTGGTGCGTGATGGTGGTGATGGGTGGGGCGTGATGATGGAAGATGGATGCACCCATTCTTCCCCCTCCCTTTCCCTGCCTGCCCGTTGACCGTCCGCTGTGCGAATCCCGCCCTGGACTAACCGTGCTTCCGTTAATCGTACTACCGTTAAAGGGAACTGCTGTACGCGTGTATGTGTGTCGACTGTGTAACTGTGGGACTGCAGGAGGCTTCTCAATGAGGCTGCACTCTTTCTGGAGACATGTGCTTTCCAAGTACAGCAACACAATCAGCAGCAGCAGCAGCAGCCGGGGGCGGGTCAGGAGGGACTTGTGGAGCAAGCTCGGACGCAACTTGCGCAGCTATGGCGCCTGGCGGTGAGGGCGTACCTAGGGCATGGGGCGAGGGCGGCATCAACATGCCTAAGGACGTGCGCTGTCGTAGAAACCGTATGACGCGAATTTAAGTCCGCATGAGTGCGCAGTGCGTGTCACCTCAAGGGTTGCCCCCGGGGGGTGCTGCACCGTTGTCCATCTGGCCGGGGTCTCAAATGGATTACGCCATTGAGCGCCACTGGAGGTGGACTCCACTTGAGGCTGCTTGCTGTAATTTACCTCGCCCTCGCTCCTATGGGGGGATCGGGAACCAAACCATTGAAGGTTGGTAGTCGGTTGGTGAGTTGGGCACTACCTAAGGGCCAACCGCGGCAACGTTGTCGCCGCCACCGCTGCTGTCCCATGACGACTCTGATCATGATGCAGGTTCGCTCCGCTACCGCGGCAGCGCGTTTGGATCCAGATCCGGAGTCACGTGCTTTGCGCCTCGAGCAGCTGGCTGTGCTGCACTACGACATGATTGCACCGTGCCATCCGTTGTACGACACGCTGGGCATGGGGGGTTGTGGTGGTGACACTGCCACGAAGGTGACGGAAAATGCCTCCGCCAACGGTGCGCTAATGGTTCTGTCACCTGTGTTATCGCCGCCACCGGAGGCGACGCAGTACGTGGACGCTGCGCTCGATCACGACACTGATGAATCGTGCGACAGTGACTGTAGCACTTTGTGCTTTGTCCGTGAACGGCGAGACTGGCGGTACCAGGTCGCGTGCGTGGTGGCGGGGGCCATGTGGGCCCGGGCCGCGAACGTATTGACCGGTGAGTACGGCAGTCCTGATGGGTATTCCTTACAGGGGTATGGAGGCGTGGGAGAGTCCAGGTAAGCCGGCTTCTAGGCGATGTAGCCAAGCTTTTGGAATGAGTAACATCGACGCATTGTAGCTCTATCCACTTGGTCCCCACATCTCTACGTCGTCGTCACCACGACTCGTCCCAGCACCTTCCCATGTTGTGTCTGGCCATGTACACGCCGCTCCATCGTCGCGCGCCTGTTCCGTTCTTCGTTTTTTATATTTTGCTTTGTCGCTTGCGACGATGTGCGGCCCCTAGGGAAAACGTTCCTTTCCCACACCCGCTTTAGTCCTGATCCAAAGTTCGTTTGTGTTGATACGGCTGAAACCCGCAGAAGAGTGGCAGTACGAGTACTTCCAGGGCCTCGTGCAGGCTCGGCGCAAGGCCCCCGAATGGCGCTCTCGCTGTTTGGACCACCTGGCAGCGGCAGCGGTGCTGGCGGCGGCAGAGCCACAGCACGGCGGGGGAGCCCTGTTGGCGCCGCTAGTAGCGCTGCATGGCCGTCGGCTGCTGTGGCTAGCCAAAGGGGAGGTGCAGTGGCGGCCGCTGCTGCAGCGGCAGCGGGGGGCCGGCAGCGGCGCTGGTGATGATGACTGCGAAGGTGAAGGGGACGGGGATAGCTCAAGAGCATCGGTGGCAGTTGCGACTGAGGCGCAGCGGCTTAAGCTGCTGGAGTTGTGCGGCAGGTATGTTGAAGGGCGCATTGACTCAATAGCATACGAGGGAGGACTTTATCGCTGGCCCCTCCTGTATTGGGAACTGTTGGATACATGCACGCATGTCTAGTCGTCGATCTGTATGTATGTATGTATGTATGTATGTATGTATGTATGTATGTATGTATGTATGTATGTATGTATGTATGTATGTATGTATGTATGTATGTATGTATGTATGTATGTATGTATGTATGTATGTATGTATGTATGTATGTATGTATGTATGTATGTATGTATGTATGTATGTATGTATGTATGTATGTATGTATGTATGTATGTATGTATGTATGTATGTATGTATGTATGTATGTATGTATGTATGTATGTATGTATGACGTTGATTACACTGTGGGCTGAAAAGCCGGGGGCCCAGGAACGAAGCACAGCGCGGGGGGCGGGTGCATACGGCTGGTTAGTCTCATGCACTCCGCCCCCGGGTCAGGCCGCACGGGAAACGACGGCCGGCACGCAACAGCGCTTGTTTGGCGCTCCAACTAGACGGGATCTATGCCCGTTGGTCTCCTAACATAAACGAAGTCGCAACT